TATACACCATAGTTCCAAATATGAAGACAATCCAGTGTTTAGTTCTTGAGATATCGCGGCAACAAACAGGTGGGACGTACGGACGGACGTACGGACGGACGTACGGACGTACGGACGGTCGTGAATACTATATCCCCCGCTTCGCGCTCTCGCGCGGCGGGGGATAATAAACATGATAAATAAGGTTTGAGGTGTGTGATTTACCTTCTTATGAAGCAATTAATGTTTTCAAATTGAGACTGTTGAAAAGTTGCCAGGGCTAGTAGAAACGCTGATGGAGTTTCAAGAATCCTCATAGGGTTCTTGGACTTATAAAGATGATGAACAATTTCACATTGAGTTCATATGAAAAAGATTCCTTTTCCCTTCACAATGTGATTAATTATTTTACTCCTGCTATGAACTGATGTCCCTTGGGTACAAGTGTTTGTTGTAAGATCCACAATGAACCCTAACAGATAGGGCCGGGACGGGTAACTCGGGTGGGTCCTGAAAAGGCCCTGGGTACCCATAGGGCTATCCGGACCGGTGGTTAGTTATGTGATATATTGTTTAATGACAAAAACTAACTATAGCTCAGTGGTGACACTACAAGTTGCTAATGTTCACATTTCTTTCTGACGATGCACACATTCCTTTTGACTTGTTCATGTTTGAGTAAAGATAAAGCTTCAGTCAACTTCAGTGTAAGCATGATCTGATCGTTTGATACATGTATCTAAATAGTTTTGGCCAGGGCTGCGGTAAAACAATTCCCAATCAGACATTTTGTTCCCAACTCTTGAGACCTGCAGTGAGTAACCTCGTAGGGTCGGGCAATTGGGGTCAGGTACCCGGGTAGTAAATTTGGACTTGTCCCAGCACTATACTAACAGATATTACATTGAAACATACATGTCAGCCAGCAGCACTGTCAGAGTTGTCTCTCTTCTCCTTCATCGATTTTGTCAACTTGATCTGCTCCTGCAACATTTTCACGTTGTGGATCTTCCTTGTCTGTCGCTCCATGTCTCTCAGAACACCATAATGTAGCCTCTGTTAACAACACAACTAGGGGTGATATACGATACTTACAACTTGTTTAATGCCCCCCCACCCCAGCTATTTTTTAAAAATATCCTAGAATGAGTTGTAATTAGAGTTTCAAGTTCACTAATGAAAACAGCTACTATGTACATGTGTCTACAGCTAGCTTTTCCTTTTTGAACTTGCTCTGAAGTGCAGTTTGACATTAATGTGTGTATCGCATATCGTGATCTATGTATCATTTCACCCCTAAAAACTAAGATGTAGCCTCTGTCGTCACCACACACCATCATCATGTAGGCTGTTGACATATTTATTATCGTTTGGTTTAAAAGAGAATGAAAAAAACAACATTTGAAAAAAATTCATACATCAGTATTCAAAATGTAACATTCAAGTTGAAAGGTTCCTTGTGTCGAAAGTTGTGATCAGAATCAGATAGTAGTTGGTGTGTAAATTACTGGTCGAGGGGAAGTAACTCTTCTGTACCCAGATGCGTGATGTCTGAAATGTTTTTGTTTTTTTACAGTAACTTAAATCTAACCACCGAAGTGATTCAAGAGTTACCTCTCTATCTCGCTTCTGGCTGTAATGGACGTAGTAGATGATACTGCCAGTGAACGTGACTGACAAAGCTAGAACGACTTTGGACGTGGCGGACATTGCCCTGTGAAAACTGTTCTCCTGTACGCTGGCGAGTCTCTTTACACAACGATGGTCCTCTGCTCTAGATCGCACATCTAAATCTGTATATTGATATAGTAAATTTTCAAGATACGTTTTGGCCGCTTAAACAGCTGCCAAACGTTTAAATAAACATTATTGATAACATGATACTGTCACGACTTTCGTTCGCGAGCCATGCTTCCTCAACATTCCGTCATGGTCTAAGGGAGTTAACTCTAGTCTAAAACATTAAATTATCTCCCTTGTAATACGATACGCAGTGAATGTTTAATTTGCCTTAACTCGTGTGATTTATCTGTTGATTGTTATTTGAAACAAGGAAAATAAATTAGTTATTGTTCTCTTTACTAGTTAAATTGTAATTTATTTTGGAAACAAATATTAATGTTTATATTTGGTATATTAAATCATAGTGTCTCGGTAATAATACATTAAATTGAGAAAATAATTAATTTTAATTTTAAAAATCAACGAGATTCTATTCCCATGATTCTTCGTATAATGAGGGAAATCAGTGGCTTGATTGTCCCCTGTCATAGACTTTCATTTATCAGCTTACAAGATGTGTTATTTGAAGGTTTTAATATAAACTTGCTAGGGCAGTAAAGTTGCCAAGGTCAAGCTACTCTGTACACTAGATTTGTTTGAATAGAAAGCATTGTATCCAACTTGTCTGATCTGCTTCCTAATAGAATGGTTGACTGTAATTGATTAATTATATAATGATGGTCCTAGTGGTGTGTACAGTGTGTGTACAGCATGTGTTTTTCACTGGATTTGAAGACGACAGAAAAAACCCATTAAGGTAAAAAAAGTATTGTGTCAGTGTCAATGATGTTCTTGGAACACACCTTGGAAGAAGTATCTAAACTTTGTTTGTTTGTTGTTTAACACCGTAGATGTCAGTATTTCAGCTATATGATGGCGGTCTTTAAATGATCATGTCTGGACCAGACAATCCAGTGATTGACATCATGAGCATTGATCCCATCATTTGGGATAAGATGGCATGCATCAACCAAGTCAGTGAACCTGACCACCTGATCCCATTAGTCGCCTCTTCTGAAGTATCTGAAGGAGATGAGGAGAGTTGGTGCAATTAAAACAATTAACTAACTCATGAATACATATTTTCCCCAAATTAATTCCATTAATTTGTAAATATTAAGTGAGCTCCTCTTTTCCAATAAGTTGTATCTAGTCTTGTGTGCTCACAACTGTGACTGATATCCATCAAGGACAAAAAAGCCACATCCAGGTCATTGGTAAGAGTGAGTATGGTTTTATGCCACTTTTAGCAATATTCCAGCAATATCACAGCAGAGGACACCGTAAGTGGGCTTCACACATTGTACCCATGTGGGGAATCGAACCCGGGTCTTCGGTATGAGTGAATGCTTTCACCACTAGGCTACCCCACCGACCCTCATCGGTATGATGTGATTTTGATGTCGTAGGATGCATTTGAATATGGACAAATATCACTCCAGGTGTGTGCACTTGATATACAACATGGACCTGATGGTTGCCAGTGATGAAGGTGTACTGGCTTGACAATGGCTGAGATATACTTTATACTGAGTTATTTAAACGACAGGTTTCAACAGAGCAGTCCTATCTGTTAAACTAATTGTCTGACGTAAGAGAAGTGAAAGGAGGTTTAAATCATTGTTCAAGATTATTGCACATACCGGAATATTGTGACGTGCATCTGTGTATAGCATTCATGCACCAGTCTGGACTAATGCCGGTTATAGTGCTAACCCACTGAGATACAAAGCCTCAGTTTTAACAAGGATACTGGGACAGGGACGAGTCCAAATTTAGGACCTACCCTTCCCGAGTATCCAAGTTACCCGTCCCAACCCTAATGGATACCCCACTGACTCCGAGCCGATCAGTCCCTGTTTTATCCCCTTAATGCCAAGTGCTAGACAAAGTAACAAGTACTATCTTTTAATGTCTTTTGGTAAGACATGGCTGGCTGATTTTTGCTCTCCGCAGACAACTCAGTCCACCAGACCACAGAGGCAGTCTCATTCCACATGGTGCATGAGAGTTGTCATGGTCACAGCGCTAACATTGCTATGTTGAACCTTGTCTCCACAGTATGATATCATTCTTCACAGAAATGACTATAGGAAGAAAACAAGTAACTCAAAGTAAGTTCAAGCCAGTGTCTCTGCAATAAAGATTCGTGGATTCAAGGGTTGTGACATGAGATAAATCCAGAAATGTGTTGTTTTTTTTCATTTTTAAATTAATCTAGTTTCCTGCTAGAAAAGCTGCCATTGGTGAATCAGTCTTTCCTTGTTACGATTCTATACTGGGCAGCCATTGTGACCAGACAATCCCCACTTCAGCAGACTCCCATGACAAGCATCAGGAGCAGTTGTGAGGAAGTTGTTATATTTAGATGCTTGAATTATCTGTAAATTTCCGGAATAGCATGGATGGATGTCAAGCGTTATAGAAACATGTGGAATATTCTGTGATGTTCAAGTGACAGTGGACTGGTCTGGCACTGTGTTAAAAGTGCTGGAAGCTGGTTAGGCGCGTCCCTGTCTCATCTCACGTTTCATCTGACATTACAACGAGACAAGATTTTGTGTGAAGATCACTTTCCACCCTGGTGTTCAGCAGTGTTGCAGTGAGGTGATTATTCCTCTTCTCATTGTCATTTCCACTGCTCTCACATTTTATACGGGGTGGTTGGGTAGCCTAGTGGTTAAAGAGTTCGCTCGTCTCGCTGAAGACCCGGGTTCGATTCCCAACATGGGTTACAATGTGTGAAGCCCATTTCTGGTGTCCCCAGCCGTGATATTGCTGGGATATTGCTAACAGCGGCATTAAACCATACTCACTCACTCACTCACTCACTCACTCACTCACATTTTATACTGCCATTGATAATTGTACAACCACTCGACTGTGTCCTGCCATTGTAATTGCTGTGTAGTAATTTGTATTGATTTGCAAACCTAGTTAATTTTGTAATACAATTATTGATTGTATACCGTTTGTTGGTTGGTTGTTGGTTTCACACTAAATTCTTTCATGTAAAGATTTCTGGGTTAACATATTGTTTCAGTTTGGGAATCAACACGTAACAATAAACATAAGAAAATACAGATTGTCAAAGTAGACTTTAGGGCTCAGTACAGTATAGTATAATGACTACAAATTGGTTTAGAAGTTGGTCAGGAGTGCTTAATTCGGCGAATACAGTATGTAATTTCTGTTAGAAGTTTCAAGTCACTGAAATATTTTCAGGATAAATTTACAGATCTCTTTTCAAATAAGGTTTTTATTTTGCAGTTTTACAGACATAATATCAACTTGTAATGCATAACATGAAAATGTACAAAAAAAGCTCACATCATTTACAAGCATTTATCAAAATTTGTTTCCCATAATTAACTTTATGTCATAACAAGCAAAGTTTCACTTTCAAAGTGTCATAATAACTGTAACAATGCAGAATGTAAATGAGCTAAAACACATTTGGCGTAGCCTCTTGAAGAACAGATGCCTCATTTGACATTAGCTTAACAAGGATAGCAACATAAGATCCAATCTCATCAGATCTTAGTTCTCGCTACTGAGACCTTTCATCCAACCAATCAGACGCTTCGGGGTATTCCGAATGACAGTTTTGTTTGTTTGTTGTTTAACGCCACATCGAGCAATGTTCCAGCTATATGATGGCGGTCTGTAAATAATCGAGTCTGGAAAAGACAATATAGTGATTGTCATCATGAGCATCGATCCACACAAATGGGATACGATGACATGCATCAACCAAGTCAGTGAGTCTGACCACCAGATCCTGTTAGTCACCTCTTATGACAAGCATAGTCGCCTTTTACAGCAAGCATTGGTTGCGCTAAAGACCTATTCTAACCTAGATTTTCACAGGTCAACAACAGTTACGGGTTTTATGACTGAATCCATACAATCTAGGCCATTCAAGACTGTTCTGTTGTTCAGTTTAAAAAAATGTAATCAAGAATTTGTCAAAATATGTTTCGAAGCGTAGTCACCAGTTTGAATCTGGTGCCGTTGAGCACAAGAAAGCTGCCTTCTGTTTGGCTAATGTCACCTTCTTCTCAGTCATTCCATTGGTCGGTCAAAGTTCATGAAAGGTCGGTCTCGTGACCTGCAATGGAATGTCTTCAGTTCTTTGTTAAGCGGTAGCAAGAACTAAGATCTGATTTTAATGAGATTGCAGAAGATCGTACATGAAAAGCTGAATGATAAAAAACAATTGATTCACTGATATACGAAGCAAACATTTCAGCACTGAATGTTTCGTATACATCCCCCCCATCCAACCCTCAGATATGATCCTCATCGTGAGACAGATCGAGATTCTCCTCCATCCTCTGTCTCAACCTCTGCCTGCAGCTTCCGGAAATCATTGATAAAGTTATATTGCTGAAAAACAAAAACAGCAACTGTTATTAAAAGATAAATCCGACACACATTTTCAGATAACATAACTGTGGTGAGGTGAAATGGGGTTGAACATCACTTTGAAGATTATTGCGCTTATATAGCGACGTGTAGCATAACTGACTTGAGAACTAGGACACTTTGTTTAGCCACACAGTAACCTCCCCTTGACATCGCAAGGTGTCTTGTCAAAAGAGTGAAGTTTTATGCCGCTTTTAGCAATATTCCAGCAATATCACGGCAGGGACATCATCATGGGACATACCCATGTGGGGAATCGAACCCGGGTCCTTGGCTGTCGAGTGAACGCTTTAACCACTAGGCTACCCAACCGCCCTGTTAGTCAAAAGAACAATCAAGCTTAACAAAGTTTGCTAGCTTCTATTTTGATCCCTTTCCCCCTTAAAAAAGAAACAGTGAAAGATATTTGTCTGAAATAATCACTGTCACTTCCCCCCAAAGTAAACTTAAAACTCCAGCAAACACTCCCGACCAATATGTATTACCATGACGACCAGTCTAATGTCCAGTCAAAGACGAACAAATGACATAGTTGTTTGACTGGTAACGGGTCACAACAAGTGATCATGTCAAACTGAAGCTCTGTATTATCTTGTTCTGCCACTTACCTTCACAGACTGAATGGCTGCGGCTCCTCTCAACTGCCGAGCTTTATCGATGGCATCCTCCGGGGAAATACTCTCGTCCATCACCATCATCAGACACACAGCAACTGTAACCATGGTACATAAGCTTATGCTTAAGAGTGGACCCAACTCCCAACATGAGGTGCAGCGTGCGTGCGTGTGTGCGTGCGAGGGAGCACGCACTTGCTAGTCCAGACTATGGCCGATTTCATAGTTCTAGTCCACTGAGATACCATGCTAAGTTTTAACATGAATACCTCACTCAGACACAGTTTACCGACTCCTGAGCCGACCAGTCCATGTTTAGTTGGTTGGTTTGTTGTTTAACGCCGCACTCAGCTATATTCCAGCTATATGACGGCGATCTGTAAATAATTGAGTCTGGACCAGACAATCCAGTGATTGATATCATGAGCAACGATCCACGCAATTGGGATCTATGACATGCATCAACCAAGTCAGCAAGCCCGACCACCCGATCCCGTAAGTCGCCTTTTACGACAAGCATAGTCACCTTTTACGGCAAGCATGGGTTGCTGAAGACCTATTCTACCCCGGAATCTTCACGGGTCCCATGTTTAAGTCTGTTATACGGAGTGCCAAGCAGGGTAACAAGTACCACCCTTAACATGCTTTAACGTTGTTTGGTATGAAGCAGCCGGGGATCAAACCCCGGACCATCTGCTCTCCGGGCGTACGCTCTACCACTAGACAACAGAGGCAGTACTCCCAACATGAACACAGGATTCATACAACATAAGGCCAGGCCAATTTCATTTTTGTTTTTTTGTTTTCTTCAGTGATCATGGTAATGGACCATATAGAAAAAAAATATATATACACAGTACTCGAAACTGACCAACATTTGTCAGTGGTCTAATGGACCAGCACCAAAAAGAATCTAGTGGTCCTCTTGGATCTCTACTAGACACAATAATGCTTAGAGGTGAGACTTAATCTATCACTGATTTCAAAGTCGTACAAACATACATTACTTTGTTTGTTCCCAAAATAACACTAGACCACCGGACCACCATTTTTAAAAATTCACTGGCCCTTAAGAAAATATACTAGACTCAGACCAGCGGACCAGCGTTAGTGTCGAACACTGATATTACAACGTTGGCTGATCAACTTCCACACCACTCTGTAAGTAATCTTTCTTAGTGTCACATGCTAAGCACAAAAAATTGACACGATGATCCATATTTTCTTGTGAATATTACAAACTATGTTTAAAGAAAACACAGTAGTGTAGAAGGGGAAAAAATCTGCCTAGTAACTATCATCAATAACGTTTCAGTTTCAAGTATTTTCTTCACCACTTGATATCCGACAACAAACGTAAATTGTTGTGTATGGTTTTAATAAGAGCCCCTGTTACCAATTTTCGAAGCATACAGGGTGCTCATTACAGTGAATACAGTATTTTTTAAGCATACAGGGTGCTTATTAAGGAGCATACAGTATGTTCAAGACCTTTGGTTGGTTTTGTAGGAACTAACTGACTGATAAAATCTTTTTCAATGAAACATGAAAAAAAGACAATTGAAAATATGCCAGATTATTTTAGATGAAAATCGTTTCAAATAGGATCAATGTATCCATAATCATGACCTGGACCACATTCCACAATCAGTTTTATCACTATGACTGTCATAAGTGTATGTAAAAAAGATGTGACAAAACAACTCACCTAGACACGACCGCCCCAGTCCTCCGAAACAGCTGGGGAGAGAGGTAATTCCCTAGTTAACATACTGGCACTGGTACATACCTGACATGGCGTTCCCCTTATTACTAACAATACATAGTCAATATATCACGTGACTAACCATGAGTCCGGGTAGTCCTGTGGGTACCCGGGTCCTACTCAGTATCTACCCGACCCGAGTACCCAAGTTACCCATCCCAGCCCTATTAATTTCATTAGTTAACTAAACATAGAGACACGTTACTACTTAGGGATGCAGCTTAGGCTGAACACTTGCTAGCCAGAATGGTGATAACATATAACATGATATAAGGACACCCCTTATAGTAACAAGCCTGAAATTTAACTAGCCTTAAGGATACCTTCAACATTGAACAAACAACTGACTCTGGCTGGAGCCATTTTGCTTGGGCACGCCAGAAACCTATGATCGTGGGTTCGAATCCCGGTTCGGCCCGATTATGTTTCTAGGTCTGTCAGCACCATACCCGTGCTCGTGGGTTTCACCAAAGTGGTAAACGTCTGAGACCTGCATCTCTTTGGGCATTCCACCCACATTATCACGCCGTGATATAACTGGAATACTTTTAGAAGCTGGCGTGAAACCCAACTCACTCACTGGAGCCATTTTGCATCGCTACTACTGTGCTGCAAATGGGATGTATGCCTTCATTTGTTTTATTTAACGCCACATTCAGCAATATTCCAGCTTCATGACAAAGGCCAGTAAATAATCAAGTCTGGACTAGACAATCCAGTGATCGACATCATGAGCATCGATCCACGCAATTGGGATAGGACGACATGCATCATTATGAGTGATGGATGAACAAAGTAGACAGAAAACCTCTGAAACATTGATAATGGTCATGAATATTGCTGACTGGAGCGTAAATCAACACTAATTACAATTAGCAGACACCACTTAAATATCGGTAATTGAGATATGTACATGTAGGTCAAAACCGACTTCCAGAGTCATTGCTGCTAAACATGAAGAAACAGGGATATAAGATTCTCACTGAATCAGAGATTTTTTCTGGTTCATGATGTTGACCCTCAGTTCCTCCACCATCTTGAGGAGGCTGCTGCTTGGGGGCACCTGTCCGTCGGGGAACGGGTAGTGGTGGACGGTGATGTTGGACCCAGAGAAGTCGTGAAGAAGGTTGGGAACACGGTATTTGTTCAGCTCGCCTTTAGTACACAGCGTGAACACCTCTTTCACACCACTGTTCTGTAGACATTCTGTAGAGATGTGACATAGGGACAATTTCATTGCAGTGTAGATATCGCTTGATCTCACCAAAGTGATATTTCCTGTGGGAGCCAGTTTGGGATGATAAAACATGATACCACACATTCTCGATAATAAAGGGTATTTTGTCTCCATTCTGTTTAGACCATCTTCCCGGGGCAAAGGCGTTAACTGACTATTGAAGTCTAGTTTCCACCTTTGCCAAACTAGGCTGGAATTTCCAGGCTTGATTGAAGCGCCACCAGAGGCAATGATGAGTTATGCTCCTTCTATATCCCTCCAACAGATCAATCAGATTCCACCTCTCGCATCACATGCATTTGCTTCAAACAAGATATTCTCATCAATAATCAAGATCTATATTGTAATAAAACAGGTCTTACCTCGAGAAGTACATCAAATCACTTGAGCACCATGATTAAAAACATGAAAAGATTTGCAAAATATCTGTCGACGCCCATTTGGGGTACACATGCTTTGCAAATCCTGCAGTTAACTGATATCTGCACGTTGAAATCCACATTGTTTACAAACCTAATGTCCAGTTCGTCACACAAATTTTGATTGGACTATGCACAGACTTGTTAGGCCAGCCAAAATGTAACTCCGGAATTCCAGCCTAGTTGGGCAAGGGTGGAAACTGGACTTTATAGTCAGTTAAAGCCCTTGCTTCGGGAAGACGGTTTAGACAGAATAAACCACCATAGCATTGTTTTCGGCCCCATTCAAAATAGCTGACACTGAAAAAGCTGTCCACTAAAATTACACATCAAATCAGTCCAAGTCACTAATAACACATATGAAGATGACGTCACTTCCTGAACGAATATGTGTTGGAAATGGGTTCAGGTTATTTATCATAATAGAATGGAGATAAGATACACTGAATACTTCACAGTCTTGTATACACTATGATCTTCAAATACCCTTGACTAAATACGGCTGCTTTACATCAGTATAAAATTCCTCAAAATTTCAGTCAAACAACCGGACCGACAACTTTGCAAAGTTACCAGACCAGATAAAATGTTGCCAGTCCAGAATTTTCTAGACAAAAATATACAAGTAACAAAGGATAAACACAAGAATAGTACTGTTAATGTAAGTCCTCTGCAAATAATAAACAGTTAGATTGTCAACTTTTACTCACTGAATATTATATCTATCAAATTCCAAGTCTGATTCATCCATATCTCAAAACAATATAGAACACATGCCCATTTCTCGGGCGTCGCCATTTTGGAAACATTAACTACAGCTCCATAAACACAGTTGGCATCACACTTTTATGCACTGTTGTAAAAAATACAAGCCTAAAAGAAAACATTAACTGTGTGCATTCTGATCACGCATTTGGCCCATTGAAAATGAGGACATAAACTTGATATCAACATAGGAGAATATGACTCAATAATGTATTAGTTAATTCACCTCTTACCTTGAAATTAATAATGGCCCGACCATCAGGGGTGCAAATTTCAAAACTGACTGTCATCAAAATAGACCTTTGATCATTGTTGATGAGTTTTTTTAATATAGTAATATTTTATATCTTACTACATAAACTACATAAACAATAAGATCCTGAATGCTGAAATGATGACTGCAACTCACTCAAGTCATTGTTCAGATTTCTCCACGTGTCCTTGAAGCGACATCCTGAAATAATAAAAAGCACAATAAATCAATTTATGATTTTTTATACAAATTGTAAATTTTACAATTAAATTGTATATTTATATCCTTATCCTATGTCACACTATGCACTTCTTCCTTCGATCCTATGTGGAAACACTTGAACAAAGTTTCCAGCTTCTAAAAACAAATCATGCGAACACATCCCAGCATCACCATCCAAACAAATGGGTCATGCATTGTAATCCCCGGCATAGTGACCGACACCCGATCACGTGATTACCCCTGCCACATCATTCTATTTCTTAGAGCTAACAGGCCAGGGGAGCTGTGATGTGGAGATGGTCGGGAGGACGTGTGAGTCATATAAATATTTAATGTAAAATTTTCACATTTTTAAACTTATCCTATCTCACACTATGCATTTATCCCATGGTAGGACGGTGGGGCACAGATACCCTAGCCTGTATAGACTACAACCGCGAGATATACACAAGGAAGCTGGTGCTAAACAGTGAGATAAATATATAATCCATAACACTGCCTAGTGTAGTAACTACAGGAACTTGTGAGCCCGCAAATACACCATGACATGCGACATGATCCCTAAACGTTAATTGGATGTAACAGCATGAAATCAGGTATAAGAGGGTTACGTGTTTTCACGTATGACATCATTACATGAATGACTGACTTATAATCGACCCGGAAGGAGTCTGGACAGGATGCACATGCTATGCAAGGCCATGATAAGAGGCGACAGGGAGGCAATCCAGCGAAGGTGTAGGCCCGTAGGATGGTCAAACGCAGCCAAAAGGAGACTGTAGTATGGGTGACTCCCGTTGTGGCTGCCGTAGAAAGTGGGATGAAGAGTCTCTTCCAGGAGTGTCGAAGTGGTCTTGCAGACTCAAGGTAGATTCAGATAGTGCTCAAGATGGACGCCAGCAATGGTAAACAGCCGATCTGGTTGTCATGGAAGCCGATTCTTCACGATAAAATCCCAGCGAAGACCCAGAAAAACATTCCCATTCTGTTACCTCTCAAACTGGACCCTTTTAACATCAAGAACAGGGATTTCGCTAACTCGCCAGGCGATGTCTTCAAATAACAAGGATGACATTGAGATCCCAAGTTGGCAGTCGGAAATGGACAGAATGAGGGACTGTGAATCGGCAACCACATATATCTTTGATCCTGTTGTAGTAGCAATGATGGAGTTGATCTGACAAGAAAGGTAGCCAAAGTGGACCCTTCAAGCTTCTGTGTAGATTGTAAATGATGGAGGTAGTCAGCCTGCCTTGGCAGACTCGCCAACATCCTTGGATGCAGAGAACGACACAATGCAGTCAGAGAATCCTCACTGTCCTTGACAGCCTAGTCCCTGGTCACAAAAAGAACTTGATTTCCCACTCAGGGCTTCACGGAGATCACGCTGGGCAGGAACCAACTGTGGACGTAGCTCTTTTTTCTGCTGCTCCTCCAGATGCTGTCTCTGCAGGCGCAGACCGTCGATCCTCAGAGCACCGATCCTGCCATCGACTATTCTTGAAATGGTTGTTGAACCGGCACAGTTGGAATGTCATCTGTTCTGTAAAGCAACTGTCAGAAATGCCATCATCAGCCACTGGAGGTCATCGAATCCAGAGGTACTTTGCCCACTGCAACGGAGGTGATAGCTGACTTGGTTGCCTGCCTATGTTCTGAGTCCCTAGGTTTCGTGCACAGGTTAATTTCCCGTCTGTGGCAGTTGCGTAGATAAATGTTGAAGGATTCTTCCATAAGATGGGCACACAGGGAACATCGCTTGTCAGTACTGCAATGGCCACGACAGTCACAGCATAAGTAAGTGGAGAAGGTAAGTCTACACTCATGACAGGCCAGGTGATTTTTATGTTCCGGACTCATCTTCTCACAGACCTTAACATAAAGTCAATAAAATGTTGGAGGGAATTCCAACCCCCCCCCCCAAAAAAAACCAAAACACATAATGTACTCTATGAACTCTCAGTGCACGTCTCCACAGTGTGTGCTCAATAAACCAGTCTTTGACATCTGAGTCAAGAAGCCCGGAGTAGTCATTTGATAACTTTTTAACCAGATATATTAATCTTAATCATGTTAGCTTTTATTAGCTGAGCTACTAGACCAAATGTTGACAAATGTTTTCTTGATAATTTCTCATGTTTCTGAGAAACTTCAACGCAAACCACTAAACATGACACAATGATGCATTCCATCAGCATATTTCCCCAGCAAAGAAACAGACATTGACGCACTTACCAGGAAGCCCCGAGATTCCTAGTTTTTCATCAGCTCCTGTAAAACTCAGATCCAACCTGGAAAGAAATTTCAACATCTGCAACCATGGATACACGTGGATATTAATAATAACTGATGTATAAATATATGAAAATATGCTTCTTAAAATGAACATTACACTATAAGTATACACCACAGTATAAATATATATGCATAGCTGCATACAACAAAACTAGCAATAGCTAAACATTTTTTTTTTTTAAATCAGAACATAAATATGGAATTGGATGATCTTATTCTTAACTTATTTTGAGTAGTATATATAAATATATATAGGTTATTAATATGAGTGCTTGGACGAGTCCAAATTTACTACCCGGGTACCCAACCCCCTATTGCCCGACCCTACCCGGGTACCCGCTGTAGGTCTCAAAAGATAGGTACAAAATGTCTGATTGGGAATAGTTTGTCCGTAGCCCTGGCAAAACGTATAAAAAAAAATTAGATACGAGTAAAAACGATCTGGTCATGTATATACTGAAGTTGACTGAAGTTTTATCTTTACTTAAATGTATAAAGTCAGTGTAACCATAGAGTGTTAAATAATTTTTGTCATTAAACAAATATGTCACGTGACTAACCTAGTGTCAGGGTAGTCCTGTGGGTACGCGGGTCCTACTCAGTACCCACCCGAGTTACCGGTCCCAACCCTTATTAATATCATTATATTGGTGTAGATTGCTGGAAAAGATTAGTTGTTCTTGGTTTTGATTAGATCATGGTTCAGACTTCTTATAGTATTGTATAGGAGGACTCGATTGAAGACTCAAAATTCCTACTTGGTGTAAAAACCCAAAAGAACTCCTGAATGTTTGAAACAGAAAAGTTCATGTGCAGAGAAATCACTGTTTTATTATTGATGGGTCATATATTACTTTATGAGAACAAAACTAGTCAATTCAGAGCAACAACAGTCCAAAGGCGTTCTCCAAACTGGCAAGAGAGGAGCACTCCATTTTCCATTCCACCATATGACCATACAGACATTAGAAAACACATATAGACATACAATTTGTTTGTTGTTTAATGCCACACTCAGCAATATTCCAGCTATATCATGTATATGATGGCGGTCATAGACATACAAATACTCAGAACTATTAATTGAGCCTGTTGTTTCCCCATAGCTTACTCTGAGACTCTCAAATATCATCATGATCATGGGTCGTTTCAGCCATTGCTCACATCACTAGCCACCTTTATCCTAACTATAAAACAGCGATGAGTCATTTACCATGATATTTGAAAGGGTGAAAGATCAACTTCTCCAGACTCTTCATCAGTGTCAAAGTCAGTCATGTTGCTGTACGTAAGGTATTCTGAAAAACAAACATTTGTGAGTTTGCTTGATGAATCCTTTTAAAAAAAACGTTTTATCTCTATTTCTATGTTGTTTTCATACATTTAAAAAATAATTAGTTCTACAAAATGTCATATTATGGAACAATTTTATCATGTTTATACACAAACATTAACTGTCACATAACCATGTAAAAGGTTTAGTTTACAATTCATCAAAATTATAAATAAAATTCACAACCACTTAAATCCCAAGTAAATATGTTTTGACAGAATACTGTATTACTCTAGAATAAAAGTTTAAAAAACCGACTAAACCCCCAGTAACGTATTTCTGATTTTATACAAATGCAAGAGGTGAATATCCAAAAAATATCAACAAGAAATGAATCATACAACTGACGTTAATACAAAAAATAATGATATGTACATCTTTTCTCCTCGTCCGTCACATGCTGATTAGTGAGATCATGAAAATGACAAAACAAACCAAATAGCCTACATGATCGAAATCCGAACAATGACAGAAACAGGTGCCCTTGATTGAATGATTATGAACATACAGAACAATGACAGAAACAATTAGATTAATGCACAAGTCATTCTATTATTGGAAGTAACTATTATCCGCCAATCGTTGCAAATCGGTACTAATGGCACCGAAAAGGAAAATAAACACAAATTATTTACTTGTCTAGACTCGGCTGTAACCGGAAGCAGTCCGAATTCGATTCTCCCGCTCAATAAAGTTGATTGGTTTAGAATGTTTTCCTCGTTTTTTTAATGAAGTAATTTACTATTGTAGTGCTTAGGTAGTTGTGTGAAGCGAGATATAAAAAAATATTTAAGGCTACAGATTTATAAAACACTTTTTTTTATCTATACCCATAATGCACTTCTCTTGGAAACTTCCAAAATGGAGTCTGAACGATGTAAACAAACTTGATTTCAACCGAATATATTTTTAAAAAGCGAATATAGGACAGATGTCACAGCGACAGTCTGATATAGATATTCCATAATGTAAAACATATGTATATTTAGTTATTGCCGGCGTAAAAATTAATAATTTTGAAAGATTTTAAGAGACACGAATACGAAAACTTGTTGTGATGTGGTGTTGTAAGCCGATATGTCAGTTGTCACGTAAGTTGACATGTAAGTATCATATATCATAGACAATATCACGTTGTCATAGTGGTGTGTAATAATCATCATGTATATGTCTCGACCACAGGAACTCGATATTGCTCAATGTAAAAAGTATACGCCCCCTATACTACATAAAATTTAATGTAGTATAGGGGGCGTATATTTTTACATAGAGCAATATTTAGTTCCTGTGGTCTCGACTCCCTTTACTGCAGATCCAATCAATCGTTGATCTCTAGCTAGCTAGTGCATGACAGTTATGAGGTCTGACAAAATAGTAGAAAGGACAATGCAGGATAAGAATCACTTTGGGCCCACTGGAACTGTAAAATTTGAAAATAGTTATTAGCATGAACATTATTTGACATTTTCTAATGGATAATTTTTCTTTCTTACATTCACAAATTTTTCACTTCTGACATTATCAAGTTATAGGAGACGTATATGGCTAAAATGAATGAAAAAGTCCTATTTCTTAAAATTACAGAGGGAATCTAACAATGAACAATTCCATGACTCAAGATGATTTTTTACTTTATATATGTGTACTTTCTCTATCAACATCTCCCGGAAAAGGCTCTAAATTGGGTCAAAGACTTGCTGATGTTCAAATATTTATACCCAAGGAAAAAAACACTACCTGAAAAAACTTTTTAACACATTGTAGTCTTACGTTCACATATAATGTTATCATAATGACAAATATTTGTCAAGAAGAGACATATAAAATACTTCACCTGAAACAGTATCATTATATATATACTGTATACTGTTATATGTCAATATTATCATTACATGAACAAGGGAGATTGTTCTATGGATATACAACCCCTTTATCCTTATGTATTTAACCCTCCACTTTCACATTTCTGTACATCACTTGCTTGTATCTACATCATTTGTACATGGAAACGTCACACTCATTGTAATAAAGAAGTTTATGTCCATGGAACTATCTCCCTCGTTCATCATACCAACTTCTAAATGCCACTGAAAGAAGATATCATTACAAGTACAAACCTCCGAACTCAAGTCACGGTTGAAAAGAAATGTGATACATCCAAGATAATCTCTTTTGTCATGGAATAGTGAAATTGATAACAAACTCAAGTATAGGTCTACTATAGTAGCTTTCTTGAGAAATCTCATCTGACTTAAATTGTTGTCATGATATTTGAAAGAAAGTATATCTTGATCATCTTATCTAATAGTCATGAAATATTACATGACAGAGTAAACAACACAATGATGACAGGATTTTGGAAGCCTTTGTGAATAGCTTTGTTGGAAAGTTGTGTGTCACTGCCTTGAGACTTATGATTTGAAGTCAACATTCAAGAGATGCAATTATTTTCTTAAATACATAAGATGGGTGTAAGTAACTTTGAACCAACGACTTTTCATTAACAAAACAGTGCTGTGTGTAATGTGTTTTAATCTTACACATGGCTTAAATATATATCATATTTTTTCCCCAGAAATTAAAAATGCCTTCCACCATTGCTCCAATCGAGCTGACAAGGAACAATTCCATCCGCCCTGCCAGTGGACTGCGATATGGAAACTTTGAAGGGGTGACGCATCTTCCTCCACTAAACACTGGTGGGAGATACAGTGACTTCACCTCACTTAACAACCAGCAGATATACAAGACAGTGTGTGAGTGGTTTGAAGCATGGAGGCCCTGGCAGCAAAGAATCTCACTCTGTGGCATTGCAAACAGGTAAATAATAAGGAGTTTAACATGTTTTCAATGTTGAGATAGGTCAATTAAATTGGGAAAATTACATGCAGCTAAGATCGCCTTGCTGATCGGGGCTATGAGTAGAGAATGTTTTTATTTCTTTGTTTACAGATCTGTTGACCTAAAATATGAAAGTAGAAAAAAAAATAAAAAAATTCAGAACTTTTTAATAATCGGCAGTAAGAGAAAAAATAACATTAAAGAAAAAAATACACTGATTATGAGCGTAAGCAAAACAGGAAAGTTGAAGCTGTAAATACTCAACCGGCAAATGGTAGGAATGGTCGGAGCCTCCTACTAGTTTTGAATGCTACACATGATGTTTGGGAGTGGGAAGTAACTCTGTTTATAGTTCATGTGTGGCATGCTCTGGAAAAATGGTAGCAAGTTCATGTTGATGGTCCAAGATGGGATAATTTTTAAACTTATTCCATCTCACACAATGCATTGCTTTCTTGTCTTTTGATCCTTGTGTGGAAACATGCTAAAACAAAGTTTCCAGCTTCTGAAAACATTTCACCCGAACACATCCCAGCATGAACATGGTCACAACCCAAACAAATGGGTCACGCACTGTAACCGACTTATTTACATGCATTAAAATATCACGAACATCAACTTGCTAATGCACTGGTCATGTCACGCATTCTACAGGGAAGTGGCTGCATGTACACTGTTATCTCTTATATGCAGAAATATGATTGCAAGATCAAGACGTGATGTGATATTGTCCCATCAGCATATGACTTGACGATTGATTGAGGTGTACTCTCATTACACTGTGTGGGTGTGTTGATGACCAGAGTTTCCACGTCAACAACTTACAGTTCAAGCGGTAATGTAAGTGATGACACATCAGGCTAAGTTCCTACAAGCATCCTGACGGATGGTTCAATCGGACAATGAATCAGTTGTGTGGTCCATCAACAAGATGGGTTCGAAATTATCCTTATTGCTGCTCTGAATGACATTCCATATTTTGAATTGGTAGACTTGCCTCACTGTCAAGTTCAAGCCAGGCACATTAAGATTTAATAATAATCGAAAACACACCATCATGACCGGAGCAACTATCCCAGATAAGATCTACTATTTTAGCCACATTCAACTGCAGTGTTCGGATCCATCTCCTGTTGTCACTACACCAGCATCTCCAGTGGTGGCTGCAGAGATTGAATGCCTATGAAGGAGTCTGTATGAAGCCGTTCATCCCAACCCATCACTTAAGGGTCGATGCCTCAACTGTGGGCTGGGGAACTCACCTCTTAGAATCTTTCAAGTGACAAAGCGCTGGTCTGATGACAAATAGAAGTTCCACTTCAACCACGTGGATTTCAAGGCAATCATCCTGGTAGTATCCCATTGGGCAGAGATCCTTTATGAGACACAGTTCATGATCCAGTCAGACAATCTATCAATAGTCTGGTTCATTAACAAGATAGGCTCCATCATGTCAGCATCCCTCCTGTCGAGTTGATGGCACTGGAGTTCTTCCGGCTGGTCAACTCCCTGTGCCTTCAAGTTCGGGTAAGGCACACCCCAGGGATCCACAACATCATCGCAGACTCCCTGTCCCGAACCAGACCAACCATCTCCGACAGAATGGCGTCTCCATCCGGATTCCAGGGATTTGCTGCCTCCAATTAAGCCCAAACATTGACCTCTTCACAACACGGTTTAATGCTGAGCTCCCTAGGCTCCTCTCATCCAACCCGGATTAACAGACCTAGGACCACAAAGCACTGGTCAGCTCATGGGAGAATCTCAAACCTATGCCTTACCCCCGACAATCCTTCTACCTCAGGTACTTCAAACGGCAGCAACAACCAACCCCCTGCAACTACTTTTGGCCGTACCATATTGGCCAGCTCAAAGTTGGTTCACACTAATTGTAAACATCACAGAAGGAAGATACCATCCTCTTCCACTCCTCCAGCCCCACTCCCATCTGCTGCACCCATCGCTGGACACCCTCCATCTCAGCCTTGTCCAAACAGAAGTGGAAGGCCTTCGAAGGTTACTGTCATGTACGTGGTATCATTACACCGACCACTACTTCTCCCCAACAAGTTGCCAGATATTTACAGCACTTGAGGTCTACACAGAAGCTCAAAGGTTCCACTCTGGCTACATATCTTGCTGATACCAACTTGGTAATTGCCACTACTACCCGCTGAAAGATCTCCACGATTGCAGAACAACAAGCTCTCATTCGATCCTACAGGTGTTCTGACCAATCGTCTCGGTTTTGTCCTCCAACTTGGGACCTCAGTGTCATCCTACGATATCTGGTTTCAGAGGACTATGAACGCTTGGAAGTGAATAGCATTGAGTATGTCACCGTGAAGATGGTTTTTCTTCCAGGCCTAGCAACAGCTGCTTCAGTTAGCAAAATACATGCTCTTGATGTAACCAGACTCCAGTTTAAGAGGCTGCGCCATGGGAAGGTCTACCTGGCATTTCATTGCAAAGAATCAACTTCTAGGCCAACCAGATCGGCTGTTCACCATCCCCTCTTTGGAATCCATCTTAAACCCAGGAGATCATGAAGATATCTCCTTATGTCTGGTGAGAGCTCTCCACATTTACCTCAAGGCCTCTGAGATGCTACAACGCTCCCAGAAGAAACTCTTCATCCCTCTATCCACGGTGACCACCAAAGAAATTCACCCATACCACAGCCTCCTTCTGTCTCTGTTCGGTGTTACTTCATGACTATATCTTCGCTGTATTGCCTCTTCCTATGACATCCAATCCACACGAGAGAGGAGCTCTCGCCTCCATGATGGCCCTGCACAGCAACTGCATGTTATCCACCATTATGGAAGGGTGTTTCTGGAAGTCTGACACAGTCTTCACTTCCCACTATCTATGTCTCAGTCACCGATGCACATGGCCTTCACCAGTTTGGTCCTTTGGACCTTTTGTCCTGACACAACAGTTGATGGCAGCTCATCAGCGCTGGTAACAATGCTGTGTACCCTCTTCAGCAGCTCAGTACACCATATTGTGTATATACTGTATAAACACTGGAATGTCACCTCTTTGTATGTCATTATTACAACTCGGATTCCCAGAATGAGAAGGGAGAAGCTACTCATCTGCAGAAACTCCGGTCATCGGCCATTTCGGTGGTGTCCTAAACCCTTACCTGCTCACCCCTGCCTTGTGCATGTGATGTCTTTGTATTGGTTTGAAGATCCTCTTATGGATGTTGTTGATCATTCCTCTTCTCCTAGCATGCTTCAATTCCGCATGCGTGATTGACAGCTTTGATGAAGCATTAAAAGAGATGCCAAGCTGGCTCACCCTATTGTCCATAGGAGATAACAGGGTGGTCTGTCTGGATACCACTTCCCGATTGGTTATAAGTCGCAGCTGAATAGATCCCTGTTCAAAGCTATGTGGTCCTTCGTGTAACGATGTCCTACGTGAAAACATGTAGCACATGTTATACCTAATTTCATGATGTTATGTCTGACTAGCGTAAAGGGGTCATATCGCATGTCATGGTGTGTTTACCTGTTCACAAGTTCTTGTCTTTCTGACACTAGGCAGTGCTATATTGTTTGTATCCCTGTTTAGCACCAGCTTTCTTGTGTATGTCTCACAGTTGTAGTCTATACAGGCTAGGGTATCTGTGCCCCACCGTCCAACCGTGGGATAAATGCATTGTGTGGGATAGGATAAGTTTAATAATTTGTAGATTTATATTAAATTGTATATTTATATATACTTATCCTATCTCACATGCCATATGCCCTCCCAGCCATCCCCACATCACAGCTCCTCTACCCTGTCAGAGAAAGAGATTGATGTGGCAGGGGTAGGTCAGGTGATCATGTTGAGTAATGTCACAATGCACAGAATTACATTGCGTGTCCCATTTGTTTGGGTGGTGACCATGGTGATTCTGGGATGTGTTCAGGCAAAACATTTTTAGAAGCTGGAAACTTTGTTTTAGCATGTTTTCACACTAAGATCAAAAGAAGAATGAAGAAATGCAAAGTGTGAGTTTGGATAAGTATATAAATATACAATTTAATGTAAAATTGCAATTTTTTTCCTTACCAAAATACTAAAATGTATGATAAAATCTGTGATAAACCAAAAAATAAAAACATTCTGGCCTAAGGTGTGTTCAATACAGCGATATTTTGATATGAATATCATTTTATCATTAAACACAGATTGGAGTACAGGTCTTAACAGGGGTAGAATTTAACATTTGTAGTCCACAAGTCCTTACAATGATAACATATAGTAAGACCCTTAAAAATGGCGACCCATGAAGATCCGGGGTAGAATAGGTCTTCAGACACCCATGCTTGCCGTAAAAGGCGACTATGCTTGTCGTAAAAGGCGACTAACGGGATCAGGTGGTCAGGCTCGCTGACTTGGTTGATGCATGTCTTCGATCCCAATTGCGTGGATCGATGCTCATGATATCAATCACTGGATTGTCTGATCCAGACATGATTATTTACAGACTGCCGTCATATAGCTGGAATATTGCTGAGTGAGGCGTTAAACAACAAACAAACAAACTTAAAAATGGCAAATTTCTACTAGTCCTTATGATACCTTAACTATTGGGCAGGTTGGCAAGGACTAGTGCCAATTTCTAACTCTGGTCTTAATGACTTTCATGTGTTCTCTTACCTGTGCAGGTGCTCTGCTCATCAGCTAGACATCTTGGCAACCACGTTGGAACCAGTGCGTCATCGTGATTATGTCACTGCATCACGTCAGCGATATCCGTCAGCTTCCTTCAGAAGAGTCCAGGAAGTCCACAGGATACATCTTGACTCCTTACAAAACAGAAAGTCTCAGAAGAAGAAGAAATCCAAATCACCAGGTCGTGATCAAAATGTCAAAAGTAAAGCTGAAACAGTTGAAAACCCCAAGACCCCAGCATCAAGTCAGAGTGATCGTAAGATTAGGAGAGTTAGTAGAGCAAATTCTAAGTTATCAACCGTTTCGGTGACATTTGCAGATGATGTTAAACCTGACAAAGAAGAAATCCCCCCCCAAACACCTGTTCAAGTTTTAGACTCTTTTGCTGATGAGCTAGCAAAGGGAATATTACAATCATCTTTTCAGGATGTGGCAATGATTGAAAAAATCGAAAAAAATGAATTATCAAAATCAAAAGTGCAAGACGGATCTGTAAACAGTGCAGGGGAGAATGGTGATAGTGAGTTGAAGACTGAGGGTGGAACTGTGGAAGAAGACGAAGATGAAGGTGAGGAGGAGAAGCGCCTGGAGGTTGAGAGTATGGATTCGGATGTGGAGAACACTGAGGTGTATAGACAAGAGGACAGTGATCCACAGGAGGGCAACGCTCCAGCAACACCCAGTACGGAAGGGGGGCAGAGTCTCAAGGTTGATCAGAAGTTCCTCCTGAAGAAGTATGGCAGAAGGAAAGGACGTACAAAGTTCCTAGGGGGCAGCATTCAGCTGAAGACGGGGTCCCGGAGGAGCAGTGCTAGCGTCAGGACAACCTCCAGCAGGTTCAGGAGTAGTGCATTCGGATCCTCCGCAGTCAGCACTCTCGAATTCTTCTCTCCCAGGCGTGTGCTAGGTATGTACATAGTTAGCAAGGATGAGTATTGCTTGTTGAAGTTGTGTTGTGATGTATCAATACATATCCAGTGTTCAAAATCAATGTGGGTCCTGGGAACCTTTAGGTTTGCTCCTGTAGGGACTGTCTAACTCTTCTGGACTGCCTCCGTGGTCTAATCTATGAAGCGTCAGGCCGGAGAGCATAAGGTCCATGGTTCGATCTCCATCCACATACCGAAAAAAAGGTGTTAAACAAAATATTTTTGTACAGTCCACACACATGGCGATTTTTATTGAAGTAAGTTGATGTCAAACATCTTTCTTTATGACGTCACAGCACAATTGTATCCTAGCATCCATAAGGTCCCTTTTCTCCTGGTGGTCTCTAGTTAGTAGTCCCTTGAACCGTGTGCATTCATGTTCTGACAAGATAGTATCAGTTTATATTCAACTATGACCCAGTGGCGTAGAAGTAATGTCAGTGGTTGGAGATTAGACAATGCAGAGGATTGTATAACAGGCTGAAGAGGTAACACTTTCTCTTGACTTTCATTTTATTTAAATCTGGAAATGTAGGAAATCAAATACGTAAATCATCTTAAAATGGTACCAGTAAATGTATAAATGTACAAGTAAGTGAGTAAGTTGGGTTTGATGCCACCAGTTATATCATGGCATGGTTGTTCGCTCGTCACACCGAAGACCCGGGTTCGAACCCCGACATGGGTACAATGGGTGAAGCTCATTTCTGGCGTCCCCTGCTGTGAAATTGCTGGAATATTACTAAAGGTGGCGTAAGACCATACTCACTCACTTACTCATGGCATGTCAGCTTACTGTTGGAGGAAAGCCTGAAGTAATGCAGGTCTCAGACGTTTACCACTTTGGTGAACTCATGATCATAGGTTTCTGGCGTTACATGCATTTCTGCTCAATGAATTGCGGAGCCTTAGACGACTGAGCCACCTGTGCCCCCTATAATTCAGTCAAGATGTATACTTAAAAACGAAAGAAGCCATGACAGCTGGATGTGGGTTGATGCTGATCTCACTGCTCCAGGTGGACCGATGCAGTGTGAGATCCGACAAGGACCAGTACAGAAGCCTGTGGGCGTGGCGGACATCCCCGTGCCCCTCACCCAGTCCTACAAGAGTGTCAAGTGGTGGCCCGAGACCCCCAACACTGGCAGGGCTTTCAAGAAGGCAAAGCGATCAGACTTGTCAGGCAATTTCAGAGATCAGCTGGCCCAGATTTGGGAGGTAAGTACTGAAAATGATCTTTGATGCTGGTCAGGAACTAATTATGTAAAGCACAAATAGCTTGTTATTTTGGTAGGCTGTGCAATATCTACTAGTGATGCCACAGTACGACTATCTCCTGATACGATACATACTACGATACTTTGTTCATGATGCGTTTCACAATACATGTATTTACAGTTTTGACTGATTTTTTTTATTTCATGGGGTATAAACACTATTTAAAAGGCTTGAAACTTCCTGAATATCTGGTCTCATATTTGAAAATAAAAATATCTCATTTCAATAGTCATTTTATTTCAGATACAACTGAAGTGTCAACATAATTATTATCCATTATCAAATAAAAATAGCTGATTCCCTGTTCGTAAAATACCAAAAATGTGCGCCCGAAATTGAATATATTAAATATGAATGAATAGATCCGGGTGTGAAACGATACAGGATTAAAATATGAATCGATATAGAATTAATTTATGAGATTGGTACAGGTAAGTGTGTATCGAGTATCCAAATTGTCTGAGAATATTATCAATGCACTGATGTACTACTGAATCCTGACATTCCTAATATGAACAATTGTTTCAGTTCTTTGTCAAACATTTGTTCACCTCTACCATGTCTGCATCTTGTTCAAGGTGCTGATGCTAATACCACTATGTCCAATACATGTGAGATAACTGATATGTATAAGGCCAGACCAATAACTGATCGATGGAAAATATGCTACAAATATAGAATACTAAACAAGCTCCCGTGAAATACCAATTTTATGAAATGAATGAATTGTGAATCTGATGAGTGAAAGCGAGTCAGATACCAGAACTATTCACAAGTTTCATATAATTGGTATAAGACAGGAGCGAGTTTAGTATTTTATTTATTTATTGCCATTTAGAACTTTAATTTTTTTTACTGAAGTGTGTGAATAGGAAGACATCCACGTGATCCACAGTATAATCCGAAATTTAAGTTTAACAGAATAATACTTCTAACACATCGTATTAATTTAATACCTTACAACGGCAGGTCGATTCCACGAAGCCTTCGTACCGCTGAGGATTTTGAAACTCCCATACTATTACATAGACTTATGAGTCTTTGCGCTACGATCGCCTTGTGGAGCGGGGCCTTGCACCACAAAGTTAACAATCACGTCACAATACCCTATGATATAATTTGTGGAATAATTCCATGTGACATCATCCTAGCAATAGGGTTGCTTGGGTCATCGGGTGTGAATAAACTCCTCTCAGTGATCTATCATCTCTACACACAAAATCATTGAATAAGCCCCTGGATGGTGGGAGTTTTCAATGTTTGTTAGTGAAACTTGTTCCCGCAGTACATAAGCACACACTTTGGTATTACACAATTACTAAAACAGCTGTATGTTTATTAACCGGGTGATCTCTTCGTGGGCGAGTAATAGTATCTTGGTTTTAAATATCTTTAAATTTATTTCAAGTGTTTTATAGGAAGTGAACCACCAATTTATTTTGTTCCCCTGCCTCAAGAAATAGATTTGTATGTCCTAATGACCCTTTAACATTTCAGAGGAAGTTTAATATCAGAAGTAACTGTTTATTACTTTGCTGCTTCCTGACACCTGTATGTCTCTTATTAATTTTGAGATATTTTTCTTTAGTGTAAATGAGTATGTGTGTGATACAGTTTGTAAGTGCATCATTATATATCTTTGATTTATTAAATGTATTAAAGTTTCAGGTATTAATAGTGTCACTAATGTGTCCCTTCTTGGTGATGTGTATTTCTGTATATGATCCCAACTTACCAGTATGACACTACAATAAACAATTCTTTCATTCTCCCTCTAGTGGCTGTCTGAGTGGGAGGAGTTTGAGCGTATAGCGTTACTGCGGGAGATCGTCAAGGTGTGTTCCTTGATGCTGCTGGAGTATCTCGTCTCACACATCAACCAGAAGTAAGTATATATCAAATATGGCAGTAGACACTCAGGTAGTGTTAACTGAGGGTGATAATATTTTTTTATTTCTAGCTCACCTGAAGTCAAGTGTAAACACCATCTCCACAGACACATCAGGACCAATTATGCTGAAACATGCTTCTTTCCATCAATGATAACATGATAATTTGTCCAAGAGGTTCAAATCTGGTTTTCAATATGGCCACCATGGCGGTTATCTTGAAAAAAACCTATTTATGGTCATTGCTCAGTCAGTTTTTGTTGAAAACTTCATGAAATTTGATGTATATTTAGTTAGTAGTGGGACGTTTTTTCTGATATTTGTTGATATTAAATTTGTCCTTGTTTGTCCTCTGTGGCATAATATAGTAGTTCATTAATAATACACCTATTTTCATAATCAAATATGCTTGAAGTGCAGACAACATGGTTTTGGTTTGGTTTGTTGTTTTACACCGCACTCAGCAATATTCCAGCTATATGACGGCGGTCTGTAAATAATCAAGTCTGGACCAGACAATCCAGTGATTAATATCATGAGCATCGATCCACGCCATTGGGATTGATGACATGCATCAACCAAGTCAGACCACCCGATTCCGTTAGTCACTTTTTACGACAAGCATAGTCGCCTTTTACGACAAGCATGGGTTGCTGAAGATCTACTCTATCCCGGATCTTCACGGGTAGCAGACAACATGGACAAGTAAGGGCAGTTCAGTAGAAAGCTTGGCGGAAGAGATAGGTCTTGATTGATGTTCTAAAAGCAGAGTAGGTAGGACATTCACGTACATCAGAAGGTAGATTGCTCCAATTAGTGGCCGCAGCGAAGGACCATGCTTTTAAACTCTTTGGAAATGCTTTGAGAGAGCTGAACTGTATGTTTTGATGACATCATATTATGTTCAAACCTAATGAATTTAGTGTTTGGTTTTAGTCCTCATATTTATGCAGAAAATACTTGAATATCAGACTCAGTGCTGACAACAACTCTGTTGATGATTTAAACTGTTTAATACATATCCAGGTGAGCTTCAATGCATATTTTCTTGCTTTGTGAAAGAGGCCATTCATTTAGGAGCAATTGTTTTATGAATTGAATTTTCTTCCCAGGATTCGTGATGAGACTGACATCAACAGGTTGATGGACCGGACATTGTTGTACATATTCTCCTGCCTGTCAGCCCGGGAGATAGATGTTGCCTCGCAGGTAAACACAAACTAACGATAATAGCAATTATTTAACTCTTATGAATACAGCGGAATCATGTGGACTCAGAGTTTAGTCCTATTCAGACTACCGCCTCCGTCGTCTAGTGGTAGAGAGTCTGCCCGGAGCAAATCCCCGGCCGCGTCATACCAAAAGACGTTAAAAGATGGCACTTGTTGTTACCCTGTCTGGCGCTCGGCATTAAGGGGCTAAAACAAGGACTGGTCGGCTCGGAGTCAGTATAAACTGCGGCATGGTATCTCAGTGAGCTAGCACTCTAAATCGGCATCAGTCCGGACTAGTACAAGCAGCCACACACACACGTGCATACACATCGCTATATAAGTGCAATAATCTTGGACGCGACGTTAAACCCCATTTCACCTCACCACCTCCTATTCAGACAGAGGCCTGGATAAGCAAGTGTATATTGAGAGTTATGTCCCTTACTGGCACAATGTATCCCTGAAAATCGAACCCATGGACAACCATGACAACCATTTATTAATTAAGAGTCCTGTTTGACAGATTCCACTGAAGTAAATCTGTCGATGTTCACAGCCTCATTCACATTGAATTGTTTTGATTAGTGAATGTCCAGATTAACAAATAATTGTGATGGACTGATGCCCTTTGTTCAGATGCTAATTAAGACTTTCCTGGTTTTATGCTGTCAGGTGTGTCGCAGATGGCGGTTCCTCTGTGCTACTGATGAACTCTGGATGCTCAAGTGTCTTGAGATGGGTGAGTTAACTCAATATTAATTGTTTTACGTCTATTAAGAATCTTGGCATTCTATTGGTTCATCCGTACCATGTGACAAAACAATACATTTCCATGTAGACCCCCAAATTATATGAGTGACACTGACCTCGAATATTGACTTATCACATGATCAGTATTGACCTGTCATGTGATGAATATTGACTCGTCTGCTAGAAAACAAGATGGCATCTGGAACAAAAACTTTATGGTTCACAGCGATGTTACTGGAATGAAACAAGGGACGGTTCAAAGGCTTCATAAACTTTATAGTGAATTTCAGGAAAAGAAAACGATGATAACTCTTAACGAGGTCCTTACCAGGTTGGCGACTGGGTTCTTCCGCCACCGACCGGCCCTCCTCACGACTCTCCTGTCGGCTGTCGCCTCCAGCTGCTCTAGAAAACTTAGGATCAGCTCTTCTCAGACCGCTGGGTTATTCAAACTCTTTGTTACAGGGACCGATTACCCTTAATTGCACAACCACCTCTCACTCTATCGCCCCTTAACTACCATACGCACTTGGTGCCTTTACAAGACAACCTTTTCAACAGTCGTCATTACCAGTGGAAAGTCCTTCCATTTGGCATCTCTACTGCCCGTGGCTTTTCACTCGTATCACTAAACCCCTTGGGATGTTTCTACACCATTAGGGGATCCTCTTCAGTTTGTATATCGACGACTGCCTGATGAGCGATCCATCAATTCGGTTGCCTCACGACCACATCAGACTTACCCTCCGGTATCTTCAGCAGCTCAGTTGGCAAATCAAGCTTGAGAAGCTTGTGTTCGTTCTCTCCCAGACCCTTCACTTCATCAGGGGATTATTCCACACACGTCGAGATCACCTCCTTGTTCTACATTCCAACCTCTTGTCCAGGCAGGCCTGTCGTCGAGACTCCTATTTCACAGTTTGCAACACCAGCCTGGCCTGCTGACATCAGTGCAGGATTCGACCCGCCGTGCACACCTGCAGTTACGTCCTCTGCAGATCTTTCTTCAACCATGGTTCGATCGGGACATGCCGGACCAGGTGGTGTCTCTCACAGCCTCACTTTGACCTTACCTCCATCGGTGGACCCTCGAGTCGGACGTCTTTGACAGGGTCTCTTTGACCGACTTTGTTCCCACTCACCACTTGTTCGTGTATTTATCGAATGAGGGGTGGGGGCCCACCCCGGGGACCTGCGGGCCTCAGTATTGTGGACCGCCCAGTCTCTCCACTAGCACAGCTGTTTGGACTCCAAACAGCTGTGCTAGTGGAGAAACTGGGCTGAGTCATATTGGCTATTCAAATGTGGGAGACAATATTGCGGGGAATTCGCCTTATGATAGCGACGGTTGCTCATGACATCAGCCTGCTGTGATCCACTCACCCAGAGTGTCTCCTGGAACTCATGTTCACATTCTATCGTCTCATAGACGACATCGAATCGGAGGTGAGAGCTTGTCACATTTCGAGCATTTCCTACATTCTCGCAGACCCCCTACCTCGCCCCCATGGAGTGGCAGTTACATCTGGAGGTTTTCAAGATGATTTGCAAGATCTTCAGCCACCCATATGTTGACTTGTTTGCCACACGTTACAACCACCAGCTTCAGACTATCGTATCACTGATTCCCGATGCTCTGGCTAGGGTTTACGATGCACTTGCCATAGAGTGGAATGGCCAACACATGTATGCGTTTCCACCTCCGGCACTCCATGTTCTCCGAAAACTGGCCTCCACAGTGAACATACAGATTCTTTTAGTCACACCTTATTGGCCCAGTCGGACATGGTTTTTGCGTTTGTTCCGACTGGCCGGAGAGCCAGACATAAAACTTCCGACTTTCCCAGTCTGCTCAGAAATCCACACACTTGTCAACCTCACCTATGCCCAGAGTTGTCCATTTGCAGAACACATTGACAGCTAGGGGTTTCTCTACTGTGGCAGCTCTTGCTATTCGTCAGACACACCGCCCTTTGACAGCCTTGTGTGATCAGAAATGGTTATCATCCGAGGCTTATTGTCGTCAACATGATATGGATCCAACCGTGGCTTCTACTCCATTCATAGCTGATTTCTGAGTCTTTTTACATGAGACAAAACACCCGTTAGGCGGTACCATTGCCAGTTATGTCTCGGCCATCAGTGCCTCCCATTCTACCCATATCACCACTGCTCCTGAAGTCATCGCTATCCTATGGGGTTACCGTAAGGATGATCAGTGATTAAAGTTTTGACCTCTGGCCTGGGACAGGACTGGTTCTATCTCACCTCCTCGTTTCTCCCTACACACATCTTTCTGATGCGGAATTGGTGCCTCTTACGCAGAAGACTGTCTTTCTCCTGTCCTTGTGTCCTGGCATGTGTGAACCACAGGCTCTCGATGTCATGTGTGAAGGTACACCTTGGCCTAATGTGGGCTTTTATTGCCAAAAATCAATTGCGTGGTCAGGCGGATCTCACTTTGACTATTGCCCCGCTGTCTAACATCTTTGGGTCTAGCGACATCTCCCTATGTCATGTTCATGCATTACGTCATTATATTGACGTCACTCATCATTTTCGGCATCAACTGGTTCTATCTCACCTCCTTGTTTCTCCCTACACACATCTTTCTGATGCGGAATTGGTGCCTGTTACGCAGAAGACTGCCTTTCTCCTGTCCTTGGCCACTGTGGCATGTGTGAACCACAGGCTCTCGATGTCATGTGTGGAGGTACATCTTTGACACCTAATGTGGGCTTATATTGCCAAAAATCAATTGCCTGGTCAGGCGGATCGCACTTTGACCATTGCCCCATTGTCTAACATCTTTGGGTCTAGTGACATCTCCCTATGTCATGTTCATGTATACGTCATTATATTGACGTCACTCATCATTTTCGGCATCGACGTAAACACCTTTTCCTCACGACCACCGAGGAGGGTTGCCGGAATATCTCCAAGAATACCCTGTCGTTTGGTTATGTTCCACCATTCTTCAGGCTTACGCCCTCGCTGGTTTGGATCCACCTTGAGCTTCCCATCCACATGAACTTCAGGCGTCAGCATCCTCATTGGCACTACACACAAACAGTCCATCACAGACATTGTCTGAGTTTGTTTTTGGCAAACCGAGTCCTCTTTCACCAACTCTACCGGGATCTGTCCGTTGAGGATGTCGATGGAGTCCATCAGCTGGGTCCCCTCGTCTTCGCACAACTTGTCGCCCCTCCCCATTGCAACTAACAGGTTCGGGTGGTCAGGTTTGTTGACTTGGTTGATGCATGTCATCGTATCCCAATTGCATAGATCAATGCTCCTAATGACAACCACTAGATTGTCTGGTCCAGACTCGCTTATGTACAGACCACCGTCATACAGCTGGAATGTTTCCATTTGCGGCATTAAAAATGAAAGAAACAAACAAAACACAAGGTTGAAGATTTAGACTGACCTGTTCTCCTGGATGTAAATCACAGGTAAATCTACAGGTATGCCTGTCTTCATTCCTTTACCTGCATAAAACATCTTGCAACTCAGTGCTAACACAACCTATGGCCTCAATCCTCGGTTCTCTTGATGTTTTTATATGTTTATCAACACCAGGCTAAACATGTCTTCCTTTAGAAGAGTTTTATATTGATTAACTGATTAGTTGTGTGTTGATGATAAAGAATATTGATTTATAATTATGTGTAATTAATGAACTGAGCCATTGATCTTTCCTGGTCATTGAATTCTGCCTTGTTACATGTTCGGTCTGATCATTACTAGGGTATTGATTTTATTGACGATGTTAGATGTGCTGATAGGGTAAATAACATTGATTTCTGATTAAGTAATGATCATCACAGTGGTGATGTTAGATTGAGGTGTAAGTTGAAAGATTTAAACACCACCATCTTTCTTTGACAGCATTATTTCGTTTAATAATTACAGCATGAATTCAAGGTTCCTGTGCCCCAAATATATCCAATGGAATATGTCCAAATCAGACTTTGTCAAATTCGAATTTCGGTGAAAACCAGACTTTTTCTCCCGGCCCCCACAGGTCCTCAGTAAATTATCATACTCAAACTGACCTACAACTCGCTAAGTCAGACTTTTTACACTTCGGATTTTGGACCAGAATTATCTTCCCAACAACCAATATACTATTGTAAAGAGTGAGTGAGTGAGTTGGGTTAAACCCCGCTTTTAACAGTATTAAAGTTATATCATGGCATGTCAGCTTAATGTGGCAAGAAAGCCTGAAGTGATGCAGGTCTCAGACGTTTACCACTTCTGTGAAACCCACGAGCACGGGTATGGTGCTGACAAACCTAGAAACATAATTGGGGCGAACTGGGATTCGAACCCACAATCATAAATTTCTGGCATGCTCAAGGGACGCAACTCTGCACAGCGAATCGCTGTGCCTTAGACGACTGGGCCACCTGTGCCCCCCTATTGCAAAGAAGCTGTATAAATCGGATTGTACCAGAATGGACTAGCAAAACAGACTGTGGCATGAAATCAATCTTGCAGACAAATTCTGCATGGAATCTTTCAAGGACTGGATAAGAAACTATTAACTGTGCGTGAATCAGATTCATTTAGTTGGGTGTAACAGCTGATCATGTGACACATTAATAACAGCAGAGACCATATAATATTGATTATATGGTCTCTGTTTACAGACATAATGCAATGCAATGTACAGATAATCAGGAATCAAGTACTTAATAACACCCACAGACCTGAAAACACAGTGTGTTTATCACATTGGGAGCCCAGTTTGTAAGCATAAATATGATTATATAACAATCAGCACAGAGCTGGTGTATACCCCACTACATACTTATAGCACTGACGTAGCACACTAATAATCCCATGATCTCCAATGGAGCACAAGGAATTAGACACAGGAACTGCCAGAGGAAGGTATGCAGGGTCTCAGTTTGGGATAATTCTGACGAAGGAAACAGGGTTTGTTTCAGTTCTCTCAGTCATATTAGATTTCTGGGCCCTGATCCACAAAGGGGTCAATCTTATATTGAACTGTAGCAGGTATACCTCTATGAATGCTTTCTGGATTGCGGCCCTGTGCTTTTGTTATTGAGACCTCACACAAGGTATTTTGGTGGTTATATGTTACACACAACCAACTTTTTCCCATAGACTTCTATAGTAATGTTATGTTGTTTTTTTTAAAAACTAAGCATTCAACAGCTATTACCTGTACGGGTGTGCACAGTTTGGTCTAAGAGCAGCAATAAAAACAAAAAAATGACCAGCTTCCCCAGCTCTTCTTCAAAGTACAAGAAGCCAAACACACCACCCCCATTTTCGCACCAAATGTCACCTGCTTGAAAATATCTGTGGTCACATTCAGCATAAGTCATCATGTTGAAAAAGACTGCACTAAATATGAAAAAAACATGGTCAGTTTTAATTGCTGGATGGATGTACATTTCAAAAACATAAAAATCTTACACAGGATCATCCAATCACAGCTGCCATATGATTCAATCTGCACTGAAGGCTCTCTATGAAAACTGCTTGTTGAACGACTGATGCTTATTTGGTGTAGTAGAAACTATATATGGGTCCCCAGGACCTACATTGCCTGAAGGTAGCATCACTGTGCCAGGACCTACATTACCTGAAGGTAGCATCACTGTGCCAGGACCTACATTGCCTGAAGGTAGCATCACTGTGCCAGGACCTACATTGCCTGAAGGTAGCATCACTGTGCCCAGGACCTACATTGCCTGAAGGTAGCATCACTGTGCCAGGACCTACATTACCTGAAGGTAGCATCATTGTGCCCAGAACCTACATTGCCTGAAGGTAGCATCATTGTGCCCAGGACCTACATTGCCTGAAGGTAGCATCATTGTGCCCAGGACCTACATTGCCTGAAGGTAGCATCACTGTGCCAGGACCTACATTGCCTGAAGGTAGCATCATTGTGCCCAGGACCTACATTGCCTGAAGGTAGCATCATTGTGCCCAGGACCTACATTGCCTGAAGGTAGCATCACTGTGCCAGGACCTACATTGCCTGAAGGTAGCATCATTGTTCCCAGGACCTACATTGCCTGAAGGTAGCATCACTGTGCCAGGACCTACATTGCCTGAAGGTAGCATCACTGTGCCAGGACCTACATTGCCTGAAGGTAGCATCACTGTGCCAGGACCTACATTGCCTGAAGGTAGCATCATTGTGCCCAGGACCTACATTGCCTGAAGGTAGCATCATTGTGCCAGGACCTACATTGCCTGAAGGTAGCATCATTGTGCGCAGGACCTACATTGCCTGAAGGTAGCATCATTGTGCCCAGGACCTACATTGCCTGAAGGTAGCATCACTGTGCCAGGACCTACATTGCCTGAAGGTAGCATCACTGTGCCAGGACCTACATTGCCTGAAGGTAGCATCACTGTGCCAGGACCTACATTGCCTGAAGGTAGCATCATTGTGCCCAGGACCTACATTGCCTGAAGGTAGCATCACTGTGCCAGGACCTACATTGCCTGAAGGTAGCATCACTGTGCCAGGACCTACATTGCCTGAAGGTAGCATCACTGTGCCAGGACCTACATTGCCTGAAGGTAGCATCACAGTGCCAGGACCTACATTGCCTGAAGGTAGCATCACTGTGCCAGGACCTACATTGCCTGAAGGTAGCATCACTGTGCCAGGACCTACATTGCCTGAAGGTAGCATCACTGTGCCAGGACCTACATTGCCTGAAGGTAGCATCATTGTGCCCAGGACCTACATTGCCTGAAGGTAGCATCACTGTGCCAGGACCTACATTGCCTGAAGGTAGCATCATTGTGCCCAGGACCTACATTGCCTGAAGGTAGCATCATTGTGCCAGGACCTACATTGCCTGAAGGTAGCATCATTGTGCCCAGGACCTACATTACCTGAAGGTAGCATCACTGTGCCAGGACCTACATTGCCTGAAGGTAGCATCACTGTGCCAGGACCTACATTGCCTGAAGGTAGCATCACTGTGCCAGGACCTACATTGCCTGAAGGTAGCATCACTGTGCCCAGGACCTACATTGCCTGAAGGTAGCATCACTGTGCCAGGACCTACATTGCCTGAAGGTAGCATCACTGTGCCAGGACCTACATTGCCTGAAGGTAGCATCATTGTGCCCAGGACCTACATTGCCTGAAGGTAGCATCATTGTGCCCAGGACCTACATTACCTGAAGGTAGCATCACTGTGCCAGGACCTACGTTGCCTGAAGGTAGCATCACTGTGCCAGGACCTACATTGCCTGAAGGTAGCATCACTGTGCCAGGACCTACATTGCCTGAAGGTAGCATCACTGTGCCCAGGACCTACATTGCCTGAAGGTAGCATCATTGTGCGCAGGACCTACATTGCCTGAAGGTAGCATCATTGTGCCCAGGACCTACATTGCCTGAAGGTAGCATCACTGTGCCAGGACCTACATTGCCTGAAGGTAGCATCATTGTGCCCAGAACCTACATTGCCTGAAGGTAGCATCACTGTGCCAGGACCTACATTGCCTGAAGGTAGCATCATTGTGCCCAGGACCTACATTGCCTGAAGGTAGCATCACTGTGCCAGGACCTACATTGCCTGAAGGTAGCATCACTGTGCCAGGACCTACATTGCCTGAAGGTAGCATCACTGTGCCAGGACCTACATTGCCTGAAGGTAGCATCATTGTGCCCAGGACCTACATTGCCTGAAGGTAGCATCATTGTGCCCAGGACCTACATTACCTGAAGGTAGCATCACTGTGCCAGGACCTACATTGCCTGAAGGTAGCATCACTGTGCCAGGACCTACATTGCCTGAAGGTAGCATCACTGTGCCAGGACCTACATTGCCTGAAGGTAGCATCACTGTGCCCAGGACCTACATTACCTGAAGGTAGCATCATTGTGCGCAGGACCTACATTGCCTGAAGGTAGCATCATTGTGCCCAGGACCTACATTGCCTGAAGGTAGCATCACTGTGCCAGGACCTACATTGCCTGAAGGTAGCATCATTGTGCCCAGAACCTATTTGCCTGAAGGTAGCATCACTGTGCCAGGACCTACATTGCCTGAAGGTAGCATCATTGTGCCCAGGACCTACATTGCCTGAAGGTAGCATCACTATGCCAGGACCTACATTGCCTGAAGGTAGCATCATTGTGCCCAGGACCTACATTGCCTGAAGGTAGCATCATTGTGCCCAGGACCTACATTGCCTGAAGGTAGCATCATTGTGCCCAGGACCTACATTGCCTGAAGGTAGCATCATTGTGCATAACCACTGCATTATAGTTTCACAGGCCACTGTGTATACCATTTGATATTGCTGACTTGAATGTATAACATTCACTCACTCATGAATTAACTCTTCCCTTAGAAGGTGAAAGGTATAGAAAGTTAGTATGATGGTATGTTAGTAAAGTCAGTTATTTCTGATATGGACTGTACTTGTTGTGAGTTAGTAGATATTGCTTTATTCTGTGTCAGCATTCTTGTAGGCATCTGTTTTTGGAATGGTACCTGAAGGAATCCCCAGGGTATTACTTACTGACTCCTCCGACATATATTGCTGATTCGGGAAACTTGGTGTCAATCATTCCCTCACTCACCCCGTCACTGTAGTCTGTCTTGCTGTGGTGTTTAGGTGAGCACGAGGGCGTGGACAACATCACGGGTCTGGTGTTGGAGGCGAACAGTCTGTCTCGTGTTGTGGACTGGAAGCTGGCGTACATGGAGCTGACCCAGCTTGTACACACAATGAAGCAAGGCCTCTCTGTTCCCCAGGACATACAGCTCAGTAAGTACAGCATGGCTACAGCATTGAACTGGTGGTGGCGGGCAGGTTAAGGCAATTCAAGTTGGAAATAACAGGTGTCTGAAATAATCGTTTACTCCAAACAGGCCAGGTGGACCAGTGTAGGGCTGGGACAGGTAACTCGGGTACTCGGGTCGGGTGGGTCCTGAGTAGGACCTGGGTATCCACATGACTACCCGGACCCTTGGTTAGTCATGTGATATACTGTAATGACATTAACAATGAAACTCAATGGTTACACTACAAGTATAGCTAATGTTCACATTTCTTTCTCACTATGCAAGCATTCGTTCTGACTTTATATGTTCAAGTAAGGATAAAGCGTCTGTCAACTGCAGTGTATGCATGATCAGATCGTTTTATATATTATCTAAATAGTTTTTGCCAGGGCTGCGGTAAAACAATTCCCATTCGGACATTTTGTACCCAACTCTTGAGACCTATAGCGGGTATCCGGGTAGGGCCAGGTAATAGTGTGTCGAGTACCCGGTTAGTAAATTTGGACTCGTCCCAGCCCTAGACTAGTGATTCGTAAATGCAACTTGCCCATTTTGAAAATGGCAAGCCTTCATTTGTGACTAGATGCTGGCACTGGATACTGCCAGTCCCGATGGACTGGCAACTCTAAAAAAATTATAGTCCCCTCCATTTTTGGTTAGTGTAGCAGTAATGAATGTTTTATTGGACAGCTGGGTGAGAAGGAATAAATTTCACCCATCCTGACAGGACCCGTGAGGATTTCGGGGTAGAGTAGGTCTTCAGCAACCCATGCTTGCTGTAAAAGGTGACTATGCTTGTAAAAGGCGACTAACAGGACCGGGTGGTCAGGCTCGCTGACTTGACTTGGTTGATGTATGTCATCGATCCCAATTGCATGGATCGATGCTCATGATATTAATCACTGGATTGTCTGGTCCAGACTTGATTATTTACAGACCGCTGTCATATAGCTGGGATATTGCTGAGTGCGGCGTTAAACAACAAACCAACCAACCAACCAACCAACCAACCAACCAACCATCCTAACAGAAATCTTACCCGGCACGGTATACCAGGCAGGCATCTTTGTTAGGCACTGTTGATCCCTTACATGAACACATTAGAAGATGTTTCCATGTTTCCATGGCAATTTTTGTGTTCCTCTTCAGGTGGTGATGAAGATGCCGCTTGTCAAAAGGGTAAGTTGGTCTCAGGTCACAGAGTTCACATCATTAGTAGATGATGTACTGTGCTAGTTGAAGATGGAGCTGAATTGAATTTGGAACGGAATGCACAGGCCTCTGATTAACCAATCAGAATTGAGTATTTCCAAAGTCCTGGTAGAATATGATTTAACTGTTACGGTACATTTTCCTTTATCCCTACTTCAACAGATATAGATCGATTGAGACTTAATTCTGTTTGTAGGCAGCCATACATGAAGGATCAGTGCCAAATAATTTGATTCTTCTAATTTCAGGCTTTCAATTGTGAGAAAATTGGCCATACATGAATGAAAAGAAATATTCTCTTCAGCTTGAAAAATGGGACTTACTTAAATGCATTATCTTGATGATAACCTTTATCTTATTCACAAATCAAGATACTGGAAAAACATTGTTTCCTCTTGTATCTCCAAAGTCATTCATCTGTTGTCTTGGATTAGGTTGGTAAATAGATATGGCCAGTTTTGTTTTTTGTGGGTGTCCTTATGCTATTCGCCTGTCGAACTGGTTCGACAGTAGCAACACGGCTAGTGACACACTCTGTTGAACTGGTTCGACAGTAGCTTTGAGAGCTTTAATAGAATTGCTGTTATTAAACATCAGTTTGTAGTTTGTACCATGAATACCTGCACTTATCACTGTTTGGGTATTTTTCATTCAGAGGACGAAATGAAACGTTACAAAAGGGGTCAGCGTGTCCGTAAGTGTTCAGATGTTGTATGAGTGAGGGAGTGAGTGAGTAATTATTGCTGAACGCTGCTTCAGCTATCTTGCACCTGTCAATGGCGGGATGTTTTATGAAGATTGATGCAAGTAGTTACAGCAACACTTGGTGGATTTATACAGATATGATGTATTTGACATATAATATATAAAACTTAACCTGCTTTTCACAAATATATTTTCTATACTGTCACCTGACATGTTGCATTTTGAAGCCAAAGTCAAGCTGGGTGTTGGTGAACCAATACGATCACGCAAAGGGCAGACAACTCTGAGGTATCTTTTATCTGAGGAGGAGGAGGAGGACAGTTCTGACAGTTCATTGGATGAAGATTTATCTCCCTTTATGGCTGAATATGCCCTTCAGACTGAACCACAGCCCCAAGGTAAATATGAGTGTGATTCAAATGAGGCTTTCTAGGTTGCCATGGTAACAAAGGAGTCCCTGAGGGAAGTATTTCACTATGGCTAAGACCTGGGTATAGAAGTTTAGGTGGGTGTACCAAGTGGGGTGATGTTGGGATGGTACTGATATTTCCTTACCGGGTACCCGACCCCCTATTACCCTAACTACCCGGGTACCCACTGTAGATCTCAAGAGTTGGGAACAAAATGTCTGATTGGGAATTGTTTTGCCGCTGCTTGGCCAAAGTTGTTTAGATACATCATGTACATGTATCAAACGATCAGATCATGCATACACTAAAGATGACTGAAGCTTTATCTTTATTCAAACATTTACAAGTAAAAAAGACTTGTAGTTTACCCACTGAGCAATAGTGAATTTTATGTAATTAAACAACATATCACGTGACTAACCACAGGTTGGGGTAGTACTGTGGGTACCCGGGTCCTACTCCGGACCCACCCGACCCGAGTACCCGAGTTTCCCATCCCATCCCTAGTATAAACTGTGCCTCAATTCGGGATCTCCTCTCACATTAAGCTGACATGTCATGATATCGCTGAAATATTCTTCAAGGATACTTTCATTTTGGCCAATCAATCTCTCATTTGAATTTGCAAGAAGGCGAAATGATGTTTTCATTGTTCATTATTTAGTATAAAACAGTATAAAGATGACTGTTTTGTTGATCAAATTACATATGTAGTATTCCTTATTTTCAGTGAAGTATTTGTACCAGCCTCGATATCGCAAGTCTTCCCGCACAAGGAAGGTGAAGGACGCCGACAAAGATGTGAAGGATTCCATACAAGAAGAGGAAGAGAATGGAGAGTGAGTTTAGTCCATGTCTTATAACATTGAATAAAATCCTACGTCAGTTCCCTCATCAGTGAGGTGAGGTGAAATTGGGTTTAACGTCGCGTCCAAGATTATTGCACTTATATAGCGACGTGCATGCACGTGTATGTGTGTGTGTGGCTGCTTGTACTAGTCCGGACTGATGCCGATTTATAGTGCTAGCTCACTGAGATACCATGCCGCAGTTTAACATGAATACCCCACTCAGACACAGTATACTGACTCCGAGCCGACCAGTCCTTGTTTTAGCCCCTTAATGCCGAGCGCCAGACAGGGTAACAACAAGTACAATCTTTTAACGTCTTTTTGTATGACGCGGCCCGGGATCGAACCCCGGACCTTCCGCTCTCCGGGCGGACGCTCTACCACAAGACCACGGAGGCGGTCCCCTCATCAGTGAGTGTTGGAGGGAGGGAGATTGATTTGTTTGGTTTCCTAGTCAACAGTAGTCATCTTTAACATGGTAGCATGTCAATACGGGAGTCAGATCCAGGCAAATAAGCGACTGACAGTTGTAGGCACACTCCGGCGCAGTGGTGACTCAGCATAACACCACTGCCACAGGCTAATTTGCATATCACATGACCAGACTTTTCTCTTGTAAACAAACACTTTTTCAGAAATCAGTATAGAACGGAGTAATGCAAGTATCTGGGGGCGCTTTACATATTGTTTGGCATAATTATATAGATATGCTGCTTCACCTGTGACAGTGAGTTGCATGACAATGTATATTTAATCGTCAAAGTGACCGTATCGCTAGCTCTCCGTTGGGCTTCGATGACAGCACGTGGAGCCGCACAACCAATGTAAACAAAGGATAACTACGCAAAAACAAGTAGATTTTCACATATTAGCATACTTTCTTAATGAACCGTAACCATTCTTTGACATTTGTTTATGAAAATGTGTAGACTTGTCAAACATGAAATGGATGAAAAACAAATGCAATATCTTGAATGGACTGTGAAAGATGTGACGAATCGTCACATGGCGATAGCCTGTGGCAGAGGTACGCATTGAACTCTGGGTAGGAGAGGAGTAGTAGGAACATTGAGAGTGTGTGACACTCAGGGTACAGTGCAAGGGATTTTATTAGGTTGTTTCAATGCCATACCTGATTTCTAGATCTGTGTATTGCCCCAAAAATATTTATTGCAATATATTGCAGTACGTATTGTGATATATTGGCAGCTAAAGTGTTTGACAGTGATTGAGAGAGATTGTACATACAGATCATATTTTCCTCAAACTAAGGTAAATATTACTCAGGGTGCTTAGTCACTGCCAATTTGAAGTCATGGATCCTGGCGAGATAAGAACGTGAGGGAAATATCACTTCTGCATTTCTGACATTTTGTCAATCAATTTGGATGGGAAACATCATTTGTGAATGAATTTCTGTGTAGATTGTAGGTTTAACAATACAAATAATAACAAAACATGTCAGATATTTTACCCAATATACCAGAACAAATATGGCATTATGTATCGTTCGGAAAGCTTACTGCAGTTTACCAGTATTCCTGGATGTAGGCCTACTGTGCAGTCCTACTAATTTCCTACCTCCATTATCTCAGTGGTGCCCTGACTTCATTGCAGGGTAAAATCATCGTGTGAAAATATGTCAAAATGTATTAAAAGCTGACTACATTGGTAATTGGGTGGTTTCAGTGACCTGATTGAGACTGTTTTATAGTATGCATATGGGGTGGAATAATTGCTCTGTCGACTATTGTCTTTTGATCAATTTCAGACTCAACTGTTTGTTTGTTGTTTAACGCCGCACTCAGCAATATTCCAGCTATATGACATCGGTCTGTAAATAATTGAGTCTTGACCAGACAATCCAGTGATTGACATCATGAGCATCGATCCACACAATTGGGATACGATGACCACCCGATCCTGTTTGTCGCCTTTTACGACAAGCATAGTTGCCTTTTATGGCAAGCATGGGTTGCTGAAGTCCTATTACTTACATCCCACTTAATATAGCTGTAATATTGCTGACTTCAGGTATATTCACGGCCATACTTTCATCACTCCTTCCCATCACTTACTCCTATGTGCTGGGATATTACTGAAATAGTCTTCAAATCAGCTTTTAGCTCAAGTCACTCACAATCCTGATTGGTACCGTTAGAATTCTAGGTATGTGTCCAAGGCCGTTGTATATGGACACTTGTATAATCCTCCATGAGAAGTGAGGAAAGCCAAATCAGAAGAAAGAACACTTTAACATGACACCTCCTCCCTACAGCCAGGAGAAGCAGGCCAGCACGGTGTTGCGGAGGAGGAAGGAGGGGGATGATGAGGACGATGAGGAGGGGATGTCTCTGGATGTACGGCCCATGCTGCAGTCCAGTGTTGATTTACTGGTAACTACACATACTCTGTACATACATAAGTACCTGTGACATTCCACTGTGTAGACATCCTTGCATTCCTTGCATTCTTCAACAAAGTCCTAGTTCAAGCAGGTTGGGAAGTATTTAAGTCTGTCAATACTACCAATAGTGTAATGTGGAAACAATGTTAAGTATTGATATTCTAACTTGTAATCAGCGTATTAGCATGAGGCCATGGACAGTTACGATGCATCAATAGTTGGACCAGTCGCCTTCTTTTAAATCATTATGACGTGACACTATTTTACTTGCTGTTCATTTCGAGCCTGAAATTCACTGGCCATTCTGAACGTGCATTTTTAAACAATTAAAACTGATGCAACTATAGATCCTTATGCAGAATTATAGAAACATTATGTATCTATCATAACATGTTTTTTATGCTTGTTTGTTTGTTTAACACCACTCTCAGCAATATTCCAGCACTATGATGGTGTTCTGAAAAAGATCGAGACCAGACAATCCAGTGATTGATATCATGAGCATTGATCTACGCAATTGGAATGCGATGACATGCATCAACCAAGTCAGCGATCCTGCTTGTCGCCTCTTACGACAAGCATGGGTTGCTGAAGACCACGAAGATGATGACTCTGGTGATGTGTTTCAGGGCAAGGTTGTACCTGCTGTGAGTCTACAGTGGCATGCATCGTCTCCAGACACTGAGCCAATCACAAACACACGGGCTCGAAAGTTTGCCGGTACTGTTGCTAGCGTCAAGAAGGTTCGCAAACTGCAGGTGAGAAGGAACTGTCATTGCATTGCACTGTTGCTTTCATTAACTGAAACATTATTGTTTCACGTTTCATTAAAACCCTTTTTGTTTGCCTGATTTTTATTATGTGTATAAATCTAGCATTAAACAATAACCCATATTATACAGCGACATTATCTTAGATTGACAGTAGGGGCGGTCGGCCTTGTGGTTAAAGCATTTGCTTGTCACCCCGAAGACCAGGGTTCGATTCCCGACATGGGTACAATATGTGAAGCCCATTTCTGGTGTCCCCTGCCGTGATATTGCTGGAATATTGCTGAAAGTGGCGTTAAACCATACTCACTCACTATGATGGTGTGGATTTTTGCTTTGCGACCATTATAATCACTGGTTTGTTTGGTCCAGTGCTGATTGCTGCATGAAAAAACATTCACTCAAAGCAAACATCTGTAACTCGCTCGCTCACTCACTCACTCACTCACTCACTCACTCACTCACTCACTCACTCACTCACTCACTCACTCACTCACTCACTCACTCACTCACTCACTCACTCACTCACTCAGGTTGCCACTAATTATAACATCTAGATCATAGCAGTGGAACGTTGTCCTTTCTTTATTCTCAATCAAATATGATTCTCAACAATGTGGTGTCTTTTGGGGCAAGTGACTTTGTTCGAAACATGCCTCTGTTCACCCAGCAGTGGACCGCCTCCGTGGTCAAGTGGTAGAGTGTCTGCCCGAGAGTGTAAGGTCCGGGATTCACTCAATGGCCGCGTCATACAAAAAGACGTAAAAGATGGTACTTGTTGTTACCCTGCCTGGCACTCAGCAAAGGAGCTGAAATAAGAACTGGTCAGCTCGGAGTCAGTATACTGCGTCTGAGTGGGGTATTCATGTTAAACTGCGGCATGGTACCTCAGTGGGTTAGCACTATAAATTCGGCACAAGTTTGAACTAGTACAAGCAGCCACATACACGTGGATGCCTTTTGAGATATAATTATCATGAGCGTGACGTTCAACCCCATTTCTCCTAACCTTACCTAACCCAGCAGTGAATGGGTACCCAGTAGGATGAGATGGTAATGTTACTGTTAACGTTCTATAAACGCCTCAAAGGCAGCTTGGGTTGTATACTTCACAGGGAGTTGAGAATTAGAAATTGAGTGCTACTGGTCAATTGACTGTGGAAATAATAATACAGCACTCTGAGCATACATTTTGTATGGAGATGAGTGCTTTACAAGTGGACTATTTCTTTGATGGATGGTGCAATAGTTTCACTCAGTTGTTCAGTACCACCATCCCTTCACAAATCTAAATGGGTATTGTTGTAATTGAGCACTTATGGTGTCTGCTTGTATTGTAGGGGCACATGAGTGGCATCCTGTGCCTCCAGTTCGACAAGCGCCGCCTAGTGACCGGTGGTCTTGATCGAAGTATCCGTGTCTGGGACATTCGTAGCGGGCGCAGTTTGCACAAGTTTTATGGACCTAAGGTGAGATTGTTAAAAGCAGTGGTGTAAGGATTCCGCTGACACTAAAAAATTGAAAAGTAGTGAGAGATGTACAAATCTGAAAAGCGTGTTTTTTTCTGAGGAAAATTGTGCAGACAATAGGTTAAACATGTTAAACTGCAAGACAAAATGTTGCAACAGATTAAACAACAGCTATACCAATGTTGCTCTAATGGCAACATAATCAGATACTGTTTCATAGAATGACAAGACATCATTTGAAATATCTTTTTATTCCATTTCTTTTGGCCATAAAAAACATCTGTAAACCAAAACATAAAAAAGGGTCTGGCCTAAAGTCGCCTGCAGTTCTTTTCTACTCTAGTAATGTCATCAGATTTAATTTTGTTGCACTGGGCAAAAATAGAAAAATAAAGTATTTTATATCTTGTGCCATAGACCTGATATTGTTTCTCTTGTGTTGACTTTGGGAAGCAAAGAGAAAAGTTATTTAATATGCTCGTTTCTGAATTTTTTTATTTAGCTCTTAAAATAGAAACGATTAACATCTCTCAAAATTGTTTTCCATGAAATATAGGAAAAATCATATTTATAGGCAATAATATGCATAGAAAATAGGCTTATTTTGTTAATCAATATGACTATGTTCTTGAACAAAATTAAAGAAGCAAAGATGTATATCATTACCTGCGTCTGATGCAAACTGTTGTCATGGTTACAGGGAGGTGTCCGCTGTATCCAATTTGATGATGAGATTCTAGTCACTGGCTCATGGGACATGGTTGTCATGGTGAGTGACAGATGATAAAGATTCTTTGTAGTATGCTAAGAGTTGTGTCCCTTACATGTACCAGGTTGATAGTGGGCTAAATCCAAGATACCTGTGCTTGTGGGTTCCACCAAAGTGGTAACGACTATGACTTGTATCACTTTGTTCTTTCCCCATACATTAATCTGACATGCCATGATATTCCTGAAATACTGAGTTTAAATATAATTCCAATTTGCCATTCCAGAGAAGAACTAAAAATAAAATAGTTTCTTTTCATGAGACTTGGAACATTATAGCAAAAGGTGAACTGGTATCAATTTTTGCACCAAAAGGATTTTTTTTTTTTTAAAGTCAAATATTCAAAAGACTTTCTGAAATTTTGGTATCTTTTTCGTTTTGGTGTTGTCGTTGGTCAGTTTTGTGATGGAATTCATTGCCGGAGATGAACTAAAAAAACATTTAATATTCCTTCATGTCATCAGATGAGAGATGACGAAAACAATTTGTCCATTCCTACAGATGTAGAGTATAAAAACATACAGTGAGTCAGTGAGTGATATTATGAAGGAACAATCTGAGGTATGGGCCCGTCCACATTCCTGTGCAGAGAAGGTCCCAAGCACCCATCTTAGCATAACAGCCAATCAAAATGAGTGTCTGGCTGTATGTAATTGTACCCATGCAATTTCCCACTGGTTTTTGGCCTGATGAAACTATTTTCCTGACAACAGGTTTGGGACATTACTTCTGTATGGTCCTATTTTCCTGACAATAAGGGTGGGATATTATTTTGTTTGTTTGATACCATTGTCATGACAACAAGTGTAGGACTTTACTCGTCAGAAAATGCATACATATACCATGACTGCCATAACTGACTGTTAAAAGTAATATTTGTTGTAGTTTGATGATTAAATGTCATCGTATTGTTTCACGAGAAACCTTAACGGTGATTTGTAAAATTGTTTACGGGAAAAATAGTATCCAATAATACACAAAAGTGCTACCGCATAATCCAGGTTGTGGTTATCATTATTTTGAAGATATGTAGTACAACCTGATATTAAAATAACACGATATCAGGATATATTATTTGTAGTAAAATAGTAATTTATGATACTATTTTTTCCAATCATTTCATGAAAATTCTTTTTCGTCATATTATTGGGTATGTTTGAATGTTATCACCAGAAGATTGGGAGACCACATGTGTACAGCTGATTGCTATTTCTGGCTTAGTTTACGAGACAATATACACAGTAATCTTTATCCCTGCATATAAAACAATGCCTAGCATAACAAGAAATACAATCAAAATGGTAAATCATCATGTCTAGTGATGTTTAATCACAAATCTAACATTTTCTTTGACGTTTGTTAGAGGGTTGTTCATTCACCTGAATCGATACGATATAATTTTTTTACCCACAGAAACAGAGTTTGATGAAAGTGTAACTCATACAAAAGCCGACCCATTTCTACAAAAAACAATTCTGGTCCTCCAAATTCAGCTTATCTATGGTCATATGCAGTACTATTTTCCTGATAACAGGTGTGGGACATTACTTCTGTGAGATACTATTTTCCAGGCAACAGATATGGGACATTACTTCTGTCTAATACTATTTTCCTGGCAAAAAGTTAGGGACAGTACTTCTGTATGATACTATGTTCCTGGCAACATGTGTGGAAGATTACTTCTGTATGATACTATTTTCCTGACAAAACATGAAGTACATTACTTTCCTGACAACAGGTGTGGGATTATACTTCAGTATGATACTATTTTCCTGGCAACAGATGTGGTACATTACTTCTTTATGATACTATTTTCCTGACAACAGATGTGGGACATTATTTCTGTATGATATAATTTTCCTGACAACAGGTGTGGGACATGCGACTGTTTACACACCGTGCATCTCTCCCCGGCCACAAGGGATGTGTGTCCTGTCTACAGTTCAACCACGATTACATGTAAGTCTAATTTAATATACCATCAAATTAAAATCAGATCTTAGTTCTTGCTACCACTAAACAAAGATTTGAGCACATCCCATTTTGGGTCACCTCAGAACGACCTTTCATCTGACCAATCAGAGCATTGCTTACTAGAATGGGAATGCGACAGTCGTAATGGATTTTCTAATCATGCAACCTCAGAAAGGTAACATTTGGTATTTTGATCTTCAGGTAGGGGCAGTTTGACTTATTCCCAAGCATAGATTTCAATGGATAAACATTTGAAACGAAGACTTCCCATAGCCCGTGGGAACTACTGCCATACAATCTTGGCCATGTATCAGACACTCCAGAATTATCTTTTGTTCAGTTTTCAAAGTTTGAATTGAGAACTCAAGTCAAAATATATTTCAAGCGTAGTGTGGAATGGAAGTCACCATTTTGAAACTAGTGCTGTATAGTTCGAGAAAGCTGCTATCTTACTGGCTAATGTTGAGCATCCTGTTAGACACCTCCTTGGTCGGTCAAAATTCTGACATGACCAATAATGGGATATCTTCAGATCCATGTTTAGTGGTAGCAAGAACTAAGATCTGATTTTAATGAGATTGATTTAATATGTAGACCCGTGGGGGTTGTGAGTCAGTATTGGTCCCACTACATCATACCTGTCATACTCATGCTTCAGTCAGTGGATTGCATGGTCCAGTCTAGGTACAGAGGTCTCTGTCAGAAGGCTAGATGGAGACTTGCTGACTGCAGCGTTAAGCAACATTCGCTCACTCGCTCTATAAAAGCTCTTGGTTCTCGGTCTAGTCTCTACTGGACTTGTCCTTTAAAAAACGTTGACCCTCTTGAATTGTATGTTATTATATTTCCCCTCCTGTCTGATTATTTCTTGACCCTTCACAAAATTAGATATTTTGGCCCTCATCTGACGTGGGGTTTTCGGGATATTCCCAAAATTTTAGACCCAACTGCATTAACACTCCCATGCCCCAGAGACACCGTCATTAAAAGTGATGAGTCTGTCATCTTCCCGAGGCAAGGGAGTTAACTGACTGTAAAAGTCCAGTTCCCCCTGCTGAACTGGGCTGGAATATCAAGGCTTGATCTTCGTGCCACCAGTGGCTAGTGAGAGTTATGTCCCTTCTATGCCCCTCCTATTGACCAATCAGATTCCATCACTCATATCACTTGCAATTGTTTCAAGCAAAATGATGGTGCCCAGTCAAAACGATCTCATCGATAATCAAGGTCTATATTGTAATAAAACAGGTCTTACCTCACGAAGTGCATCAAATCACTTGAGCACCTTGATACAAAACATGAAGAGAATTGCAAAATAACTGTTGACACCCATTTGGCGGTACACATGCTTTGCAAATCCGGCAGTTGACCGAAATCTACACGTTGAAATCCATTTCGTTTATGAACTTGATGTCTAGTTCATTGCACGATTTTGATTGGACTATGTATAGACTCGTAAGTCCAGCCAAAATGAAACTCCGGAATTCCAGCCTAGTTCGGCAAGGATGAAAACTGGACTTTTATAGTCAGTTAATGCCCTTGCCTCGGGAAGATGTGGGTCTGTAAGTAAGGTAAGTGTAAGACACTGAGTCTTATGCTTTATAGATAAGGTCATTACACTATCATTGCAGATTGTCTGGCTCCCACGACGGAACAGTGCGTGTTTGGAATCGGAGAGACTTCTACTGCATCAGTGTTCTGGCTCTCCATCGGGGCTCCATCAACTCTCTCTGTCTCGATGGCAGCAAGCACATCATCACAGCGTCCAGTGACTTGTAAGTTAGATTTGTTCGATTATTGACGACGAAATCTGTGGACATAAAAGACCCCTAAAAATCCAGGGTAGAATTGGTCTTCAGCAACCCATGCTTTCTGTAAAAGGTGACTATGCTTGTCGTAAGAGGCGACATATGGGATCAGGTGTCATCGTATCCTAATTACGTGGATCGATGCTCATGATGTCAATCACTGGATTGTCTGGTCCAGACTTGATTATTTACAGACCGCCATCATACAGCTGGAATATTGCTGAGAGCGTTGTTAAACAACAAACAAACAAACAATAATGAGCAGCTTTGTCAAAGGTTTTTCAGGGATAGGTGTGGTGTTGTAAGCTGTAATAGTATCATGCAAGTGGGTTCCAGCAGTATATTCTGCACATGAACCGTGTTGGCAAAGTCAAACAACCTGTAAAAAATATTGAAATCAGCCCTGGATTTCATGGCACCCACGTTTCACGAATGCATGTCTGCTCATCGACATCACATCTGTGTTTACCAGTAGAACTCCCTGTGTGGATTCTGGGTTAGAAGTTGTCCCCAGCAGTCAACGCTTTTGACCTGACGGATAGGGTGGTCAGGTTCCGTGACATGGTTGATTGGGTAATTGACGGCATGGACCACTGCTCGTAATATCAATTACTGGTTTGTGTGGTCCAGAATTGATTATTTACTGACCATTGTTGTATTGCTGAATGCAGCGTTAAACAACAAAGGAGCTTGTATGGATTTGGCCTTGTAGACTTGACTGATTAATAGTTAGGTTAATTGTACTGATCTGCCTACATCCATTGCGAATGTTTGTGCGGGTAGAGCTGATCAGTAATTGTAATTGGTTGGGATACTACAGTTTTCTTTCTAAGAGTTTAATGTGGAGGGAGAAAATGGGAAAATGAGTCACTTTCTGAAGTTGTTCTAGCTCATAGACCCAATATTCGAAGATTTTATGAACGCTTCAGTTAACTGTGCCCCTGTATCTGCATGTACACATATATTTAAATACAGTGCAAGCAGAATGCTTATTCCAGATTCCGTTGGATATTTAATTTGGCATGATCTTATGTGGGATTAAGAGAATTAATAACCAAATGTTGATATTTTCAGACCTTTCCGAAACAAATTAAGGTTTAATTGTAAAAATACAAGAAGGGACTATAATTATTTCACAAAACAAATTACACTGAAAGGTTACTTGTAAACTTGATATTCCTCAAAAAAACATTATAGCCTAGGCTTGTTTTTTATGTTAACATCCCGTATAAATCATATATGTCCAGGTTCACCTCTATCTCCTCTGCCCCTCTCTATAGCCCCTGACCATGTCCATCAGCCTCTTCTACCCCTCTCTACAGCCCCAGAGCTTGTCCATCGGCCTCTTCTACCCCTCTCTACAGCCCCAGAGCTTGTCCATCAGCCTCTTCTACCCCTCTCTACAGCCCCAGAGCTTGTCCATCAGCCTCTTCTACCCCTCTCTACAGCCCCAGAGCTTGTCCATCGGCCTCTTCTACCCCTCTCTACAGCCCCAGAGCTTGTCCATCAGCCTCTTCCGCCCCTCTCTACAGCCCCAGAGCTTGTCCATCAGCCTCTTCTACCCCTCTCTACAGCCCCTGACTGTGTCCATCAACCTCTTCTACCCTCTCTACAGCCCCTGTGTCCATCAGCCTCTTCTACCCCTCTCTACAGCCTCAGAGCTTGTCCATCGGCCTCTTCTACCCCTCTCTACAGCCCCAGAGCTTGTCCATCAGCCTCTTCTACCCCTCTCTACAGCCCCAGAGCTTGTCCATCGGCCTCTTCTACCCCTCTCTACAGCCCCAGAGCTTGTCCATCAGTCTCTTCCGCCCCTCTCTACAGCCCCTGACTGTGTCCATCAGCCTCTTCTTCCCCTCTCTACATCCCCTGACTGTGTCCATCAACCTCTTCTACCCTCTCTACAGCCCCTGTGTCCATCAGCCTCTTTTACCCCTCTCTACAGCCCCAGAGCTTGTCCATTGGCCTCTTCTACCCCTCTCTACAGCCCTGACCATGTCCATCAGGCTCTTCTACCCCTCTCTACAGCCCTGACCATGTCCATCGGCCTCTTTTACCCCTCTCTACAGCCCCTGACCATGTCCATCGGCCTCTTTTACCCCTCTCTACAGCCCCAGAGCTTGTCCATCAGCCTCTTCTACCCCTCTCTACATCCCCAGAGCTTGTCCATTGGCCTCTTCTACCCCTCTCTGCAACCCCAGAGCTTGTCCATCAGCCTCTTCTACCCCTCTCTATAACCCCAGAGCTTGTCCATCAGCCTCTTCTACCCCTCTGTACAGCCCCTGTGTCCATCAGCCTCTTCTACCCCTCTCTATAACCCCAGAGCTTGTCCATCAGGCTCTTCTACCCCTCTCTACAGCCCTGACCATGTCCATCGGCCTCTTTTACCCCTCTCTACAGCCCCTGACCATCTCCATCAGCCTCTTTTACCCCTCTCTACAGCCCCTGTGTCAGCCTCTTCTACCCCTCTCTACAGCCCCTGTGTCCATCAGCCTCTTCTTCCCCTCTCTACAGCCCCTGTGTCCATCAGCCTCTTCTTCCCCTCTCTACAGCCCCTGTGTCCATCAGCCTCTTCTACCCCTCTCTACAGCCCCTGTGTCCATCAGCCTCTTCTACCCCTCTCTACAGCCCCTGTGTCCATCAGCCTCTTCTACCCCTCTGTACAGCCCCTGTGTCCATCAGCCTCTTCTACCCCTCTCTACAGCCCCTGTGTCCATCAGCCTCTTCTACCCCTCTCTACAGCCCCTGTGTCCATCAGCCTCTTCTTCCCCTCTCTACAGCCCCTGACTGTGTCCATCAGCCTCGTTTACCCCTCTCTACAGCCCCAGAGCTTGTCCATCGGCCTCATCTACCACTCTCTACAGCCCCTGACCATGTCCATCAGCCTCTTTTACCCCTCTCTACAGCCCCTGACCATGTCCATCAGCCTCTTCTACCCCTCTCTACAGCCCCTGACCATGTCCATCAGCCTCTTCTACCCCTCTCTACAGCCCCTGACCATGTCCATCAGCCTCTTCTACCCCTCTCTACAGCCCCAGAGCTTGTCTATCAGCCTCTTCTACCCCTCACTACAGCTCCTGACCATCTCCATCAGCCCCTGTGTCAGCCTCTTCTACCCCTCTCTACAGCCCCTGTGTCCATCAGCCTCTTCTTCCCCTCTCTACATCCCCTGACTGTGTCATTGCTGTATACTCACTAGCACTGCTTGGTTATAGCAAGAGTTGTTCCCCTTTGATCATGCACAGCATTCAAGCATGGTTGTATGTTTTGAAATTGTCCTGTTCAAAGATTGTACTATTGATTACATTCTGGCCTTGTTTGTTTTTTCCCCATTTAGGTAAATACTGTCAAACTTAGCAAATAATTTAAAATAAAGGACATGATAGAGAACCTTATCATCTTAATGGTATACTTCATGAAAATAAATGTCAACATGAATGTCATTTCTGAAGATAAAATTGAAGGTTGACACAAAGATTTTTTATTGATATCATCTATAATGCGTATGAAATGAAACATGAAAAATAGCGTCCCAATAATGTGAAATTGTAATGGATGCTACTTGTATGTAATATTATTCATGGTGTCTTTAGTTGCAGAGCATAATATCTTTCTGTCATGTCAAAAATGAAAACCTGACACTTACAACCGGTATAAATGACAGGACCAGAACATTTTTACGATACAACGCTTTAACGTTAACACAATCGTTAACAATGGAATGATAATGCATTAAATGTGAACGCTTAAACAAGTATTACAGCTTAAATGGATAGAATTATCATAAAAATGCCCGCATGTTATCAGAAATCTGCAGGCCACTGTAACTTGATAGCAGTCCGCTTTTCACTAACAACGGGCTGTTATCTATTCTATTGTTATGTGACATCATTGGCATCACGTTTTTTGTTTGTGATGTCATCCTATATTATGTTCAATGACGTTGCTATTTGTAAATCAGTGCCCTCCTTTGTGAGCTTGTTTTATTTGTAATTTATTTTAATAAAGTCACGAACATGGTTTCTTAAAAAATTAATGTCTTTACAGATCACAAAAATTTTCTGTTAAAACACAAAACAGTTTCGAATAACAAATTTGTGTACCAGAATTTCCATGTGAAATATGTGAGGTGTGTGTTGGAAAATCCAAAATGGCTGTTACTGACAGGATATGGTCTCCTATTAGGTCAGTTATAACCTTCTTGGATTTACTGACAGTATACGGGCTCACATGGGGTTAGTAGTTCTGCTCTCTGAATGGTCAATCTCACTTTGAGGCATAATAATGATAAAACTTGTTAAAAGTTTGGCTAAAAAACAAAGATAATATTTGCATCACAATTTTCAAAAAAGAAATCTACCATGTCAGCAGGATTTACCTTTACTGGGGTCCTTACAAAAGGGGGAGTCCAGGGGGAGTCCAGGGGACCACCGATAATTAATTTTAAGGGTCCTTGCAGGCAATATGAGGGTCCTGTAAAGTAATGAAATGGTGTAGTGTACTGTACGTTTTGATAATTACTTTAGAGCCTCGATTGAAACAATAATCATGTGGACAGTGGTCATGATTGATGAATATTAAAAAAAATTCATTTTCTGCATCCAATCTCAGCATTTGTGCATACTGTATGCACATTTGTGTGTCACATAAAATCCTGCATACCCGGTTAGTCAAATTGTCATGAGCTGGTATCCATGACAGTGCTAAAATGTCACGAGGCGACCTAGTAGATCGGATGTTCAGGCTCGGTGACTTGGTTGATAGCGTGTCATCATACCCAGACAGCGTGGATCATTGCTCACAATGTCAGTCACTGGATTGTCTGGTCCAGATAAGATAATTTACAAACTGTCTTCAAATAGCTGGAATACTGATGACTGCACTGTTAAACAACAACAAATAAACAGACAAAAAATCAGTTTGTCAACCAATTAAGAAATACATTTCTTGTTCTGGTACCTTTCGCATAA